AACACAACTTTTATAACTGTTTGGCTTAACAAACGGTCACCAAGGTAAATTCTAACGTTTATGTATGTTCCCCTTTATTATGACATTACAAAGAAAAAACTGCTTGCATCATAATAACGTTTTATTACAATTATTTGCTAAGAAATTACTTGACTTTTGTGTGAGAAAAAATCAATTAGTAATAATTTACGCAACTACATCAACAGAAATAATTGATTAATTCAGCCAAATAAAAAAAAACGATTTGTGGTTAAACAGTTGGTCAACATAATTTTACCGTTTCACCCTGCTAGCTGATTTCAAGGAGATTTAATTGGGTACTAACACTATTATGACAAATTTAAGGAGCTTGATGATTCACGTCAGTGAGATAAATGCGTCTTACGTGATTTAATTCTTAATGCCTTATGAAATTGTTTATGTGTCAACATTTAGTTAAACGTGAGAACAAAGAAGTTGAATTCGACAAACCCAGTACCTACTAATAATATAAAATTATAGTTCAAATGTAACAGTTTTATTTCCGACATCCTGGTATATATTAGGCCAATCGACCCACACTCGGATTATTACGGACATTTTGCCACTCAATTCTGCTGTCCAGTCAAGCAAAATCTAAATGTTACGGGTCGACGAATATCATATCAATTGAGATTTCAAATCTAATAATGAACACGTTCACCGACGACCCTAATTACCTTTGGGTTGTGGTCCTAATCTGTGAAAATGCACATTAGTGTCTCGCGATGTCATAAACCGTTTCTTATATTGTGTAATTACCTGGGCTAATGGTATATACAGCCGAGTTGTCAGTCTCAGTTTTACTTTGTATAAGAACATGTTGACACGGCTTCACTGTTTTTAACATCATAGCGGTTGTAGATGGTAATTGTGGGCGCAATTTTTTTTTATTGAAACGGTGGTTTTATGGAAATTTGCATGGGAAAAGTTCGATCGCTGTCAGTATCAAATATCAATCATTGTCTATTTTCAAGGAGCTTTGAATATACCCTATTAAAAAATGTTTTCCAATAAACACACATTTTACATTTAATACCTACTGAACATAGAAGAAACTTTTATAAGTGATTTGATGACGTCTAAGATAGCCACAGGCACACCCTTTACAATATAAATCAGATTATTCAAAAAATGAGTCAGATAAAACAATAGCTAAAAATTCTTAGAAACTTGAAATGAATGAACCACAAGAAAAAATACATAATTATAGTCAATTAATATAAATTACTTCATAAACATAGTGGTTTAAATATTCCATGCCTATTGCGTCTGAAAAACCAAACAAGAAAAATGTCTTTAACAAGATGTTAGGAAACAGAAGATGTTGATGGATGATACTGAGGCAGAAAAAAATAGAGAATTTGAAATATTTGAGGAAGTTGTTGGCAAAAACAACTTTAATATCATTAAATACTCAGGCTTTTTGATTTGGATTTTTAGGAACTTTGAAAAATTATACTTATATATATATATTTTTTTCCTTTATTTCAACATGATAGTTAAACAATAGATGTATGTACCTAAACTAGAGACCCTGAGCTGGAAAGCTATGCGGGTCATTCAGTATCATATATAATATTATTACAATATACCATATTATTATTATACAATATCACACACTAGAAAATATTCAGTACAAGTAGGTACTGTATCAAAAAGTAGTTGCATTTATGAATATATTAGTTCTAAATTGCAGATAAAGTCTTTCATTGTACAGTCCCAAAGTATCCATCGAAGATCAGCTGCTTCAGCTTACACTTGAAGCAAGTTATGTTCAATCTTTTAACAGATTCTGGAATTCCATTGTAGTACCTTAGTCCTTCTGACAAGTTGCTGCATTGGCCAGTTGTAGTGTTCATCACCGAAGTTCTTAAGTTTTCATTGAGTCTGGTATTGTGGTGATGGATTGTGTTGGCTGGGATGAGACTTATTGTAGGGTGAATATCGGAAGTCTTGCAAGAATGGATAAAGATGCATGATTGTAAGATGAGTGAATGTCCAGGATACCATTCGGATAATATAAGTCTTTTGTTGGGAACAGAAATGGCAGCTTGAACAATTTTTTTATGACACGATTTCGGAAAACTGACAATGGATGCAGTTTGTTAAGGGAAGCATTGCCCCATAGCAGAGTTAGATATGATATATGAGAATGGATAAGGGAATTGTATATCATCTTACTATGCGAAATAGACAGATATTCGTCCAAGTATTCCAATTGTTGGTGTAATCATTTTACAATATATGCAACATGTGCATATCCCAAGTCAGTTTTGAATTGACAAAGATACCCAGGTATTGTCCGTCGATTTTAATCTGATACTCGGACGGAATGTGAGCTGGTGGCACCCTACATTAGAACACCAATGGTTACCACCGTCACACCTGTTTTTGCCATATGAGACAACCCCTCACTCCTCATACGGAAAGTGTCAGTTAAAAATCGACGAACAATATTTGATGAAGTTTGCACAAATCAATGGGAGACCTTGAAAGTTTATCGTGAAGTCAGGCCAGGACTCAAACTTTGATATTACCATATAGCTTGATTTTTCTACATTTAAACTAAGTTTGTGGTAACAGAGCCAATCGCTTATATTCTTTAAATCTTCTTCAATGATGATTTTTAAGTAAGCAGAGCTGGGACTCTATAACGAATAGAGATATTTTCTCTATCTCTATCTCTATCGACGTCTCCTCTCTATTGATTTCGACAAGACAGAAAAAGACAGCACGTGCCATAGCGATAGGGATAACGATCTCTATGCGTTACAGAATTCCAGCCCAGGGTCCTTGTCAAAATAGGTGATGCAAGTATCATCTGCATTTAAATTGAGAGAGCCCTGAAGAGGTATGTATGACAGTGAGTTCATGTAGACTAGGAAGAGTGTCAGTCCCAGAATTGAACCTTGGGGCACTTTGTGTACAATATTTTCCATTTTACTTGTTACCTTCACATTCCACATACGGTAGTCTACCTGATAGATAATCTCTAAACCAAAGTAGTGCTGAACCTCCAATACCAGTTTTTTGTGATTTACTGTATCAAATGCTTTTCGTAAGTCCAGCGAGACAAGAAGTACACACTTATATCTCTTATCAACCTTTTCATAAATATTTGTAATTAGGTCTGTATGAGGAGGTATTGCTGTTTTATGAATCCATATTGACTTGCATTATTTGGGAGATTTCAGGTCTAAAAAATTAGCACAACGAAAATGGCACACATTAGAAAAACTAGAGTACTAAATTCGGGCCTATTTAGTGCTAATTTAGTACGAAAAAAAAAAAAATATATATAAATCTATTTTTAAAAAAATTATGTGCATGTGTGCCAGCTTAAGATTAAGCTGGCACACTCTTGTTGGATAAGGTCGAATCTTTTAAAATCTAGAACCTCATATTTAGTGCTAATTTGGTACATTCATGGCACGCCTAAAAAACTAATAATGATGTATTTATTACGAAATAACCACGGAAAAGTGCTAAATTAAGACTTGAATTAGCACACATACATCGAATCGACCGCGCGAGAACGGAATTCGCCTGCACATATTTAGTGCTAATTTAGTACCTCAAAAACGACGACCTGAAACGAACTAGTATCACATCAGCACAGAGCTAACCCAAACTAACTCAAAATAACCCAAAATAACCCGAACTAACCGAACTTAACCCGAACCTAACCCGAACTAACCCAAACTAACGTCTAAAATTAGCACTAAATGTGTGCTAATCTAGTACTCTAGTTTCATCGCGTCACCGGTGTTAATGTATGTTAACTTAAACACTAAGCCAGCACACAAGTGCTAATTTTGTGCTGATGTGATACTTATTCGTTTCGGGTCGTCGTTTCTGAAGTACTAAATATGCGGATGCGAATTCCGTTCTCGCGCGGTCGATTCGATGTATGTGTGCTAATGCAAATCTTAGGTTAGCACTTTTCCGGGGTTATTTCGTAATAAATACATCATTGTTAGTTTTTTAGACGTGCCATGAATGTACCAAATTAGCACTAAATATGAGGTACTAAATTTTCAAAGATTCGACCTTATCCAACTAGAGTGTGCCAGCTTAATCTTAAGCTGGGACACATGCACGTAATTTTTTAAAAAATAGAGTTATAAATTATTTTTTTTCATACTAAATTAGCACTAAATAGGCTCGAATTTAGTAGTCTAGTTTTTCTGATGTGTGCTATTTTCGTTGTGCTAATTTAAGGAACCAGGAGAATTCTGATTTCTAGAACATTCCTGCGCTTCAAGAGCATCAAGCAAGCAACCAATAAAATGGAAAACTTTAGAAAGCATTTTGAAAAGCTCTAGAAGACTTTCCAGTTCAATTTTCAATCATCCTGCATTCATTTGAGACAAATTGGAACTTGCAGGAACTTTGTAAAATGCTATAGAACACTTAAGAATCAAATTAGAATTTCAGAAACATTCTAGACTGGACCACAACACTTCTGAACTTTCGGCAACATTTTAGAAAGCTTTTGGAACACTCTAGAACACTTTACAAATCATATGGAACTTTTGGAAACAATCTAGAACTGTCTAAATCATGTTCAGACATTAGAGTGTCAATTAGAAGTATCAAAGAGCACTTAACAATATTTAGGAAATTTATGATAGTTTCTAGAACATTCTGGCACTTCCAGAGCATAGTTATGGGTCTCAGAATCTTATTTAAATTTTTCTCTCTGTAAAATGAGTGGGCAAGTTTGAAAAACGGTTTTGTTTTTCCTTTGTTAAATTTTTTTTTCCCGTTTTGTAGGATTTTTTTGTGGATATTTGTGTAAATTTATATGAAAATATCCATCAAAAATCCATCCAAAAACCAAAGAACAGAGAAAAATTCTACTACTAAAACTAAAAATTCTCTTGACAACCTGGTGGATATCTGATTAATCCAAAGAAATAGTAACTACTGCCAAACATAAGAGCAACATTCATGAATCATTCCAATGCTTTTCTCACCTGTTAAGTTATCCAGCATGTAAGTCAATAGCTTCTGCGTCCCGTTCGGTTCACTGTAAATAGTCATGATGTCTTTACCAAGCTGATTGCCTGCCAATCCCAAACTGATCAGATTGAAAAGCTTTCCAAGTTCATATGGCAGAATTCTCAGCTGATTATAACCCAAATGTAATTCCCTGAAAAAAAAATAAATAAATAGAATTTAGTACACAGTTGATTGGGATTGGTATACCTCAAGTGAATTAATTCACCCAGCTCAGCTGGTAACAAGCGTAGGTTATTGTGACTCAAATCTAGATTAAGCAGATTGATCAGCTGGCAAATATCTGGTGGAATTCGTGTGAGAACGTTGTTTTTCAAAATCAAACCTAGAAAAACAAAAATTTGTTATTTTTTTACCAAAATTTCATGTATTATGTAATTTCTTACCTGTTAGGTGTGTCATTTGAAAAAGACTTGTCGAAAGACTCCTGATATTCCCTGTTATCTCAATCTCTGTCCAGGTGGACTTTTTGCCGCTTGCCTGGTCTTCTGACGACATGTATGTCGTTTTTCTCGATGAACTCGAATTATACGACGAACTGGCTTGATCATATTTGTCCTTACCATTATTTCGAGGCATAGTTTATTCTAAAAAAAGAAACAGATTTTGTGTTAGAAATAAAAATCAATGGATGAATATATGTTATATGGATTTCACGACTACATTGACCTCAAGACGCGTTTCATCACCATAGTGGTACAAAGTATCGCAAAGTCTAGACGCTACTTCAGCAAGTTATCCTGTGAGAACATGTCACGCCAAGAACTCTGGTCCATGGTCGCAACGCTCCCACAGAAACAGCAAGATCAACATATTTTTAATTATAAAAGATCCTGTCTCTTTATCTTAAGCGTCATTATTCGTCATTATTTAGTATAGTTGAGTTAATGTCCGATTTTATTTGTAACTTGTATTTTAAAATAAATTAATGTTTTTTTAAAAAATAATTTCAAGAGTTGTTAAGATAACATATATAATCATTAAAGTGAGGAACAAAACATATTATTAGTGCACCACCAAAAAATGACGGCAATTAAGTTTTATTATGGTTTTACACAACAGCCTGTTTCAATCAAAACAATTTTTTGTCTTCAAATGACTCATTTATCGCTAAATGATAGCAAGGTGTTGAATTTCATATCATGAATCATTTATTTTCTCGTTGATTTCCTATCTATTTATTTGTTAGCTCTCCTCCCTGCTATAGTTTGAAGGAATTCTTTCATCTAGTAGTCCCATATAACCCCTCTTTTATTCTCTTAGGGTTCAAAGTCTCTAGAGTTGAACTTCAGGTTTGCACCAAAAATGGGATATTGTGAGTAGTGAGGTAAAATGCTCGAGCAAGTATTTTAGGAGAACGTTCTCCGAGCAGGATCGAGAATTAACGAGAATAAACGAGCAAAAACGAGCAGGACCCGAGAATTTATGCTTTTTATCAGAAGCTGAATAAAACAAAACATTTTTCTAAATAAATTCTGATTTTTCTCAAATTTCCCGAAATTCCCAAATTTCTCGTGAAAGTTCTGAATATTCTGAAAATTCCTGATAAATGTGCTGAAAGTTCTCAAACTTCTTAGGAAAATATACCTACTTAATACATAATTAATCACATAATTTGTGAATTGTGTCTTGTGTCATGTTTGATAACAATAATATTATTCTAATTTGGGGTTTTCTGTGAAACTTCAACATACAATTATCATTAGGATTCTTTTTTTTTTTGATAATAAACTAAAATAGTGATTTTAGATTGAGTATATGTATTCCAGTACAACGCTACCTTTGCCTCCAAAAAAAAAATAACTATTGCTGCTAAGTTGCTTCCTGGTTCTCGGGCTCAATATTCGATATATCTTCGCCTTCAACAGCTTCCATAAATATATCTCTACTCTATGGCGTCATGTGATTTTATTGGTTAGGATCGTACTTGAGAACGTGCTGAATATTCTCTATCGTGCTTATTGTGCTCCGAAGGTAATATTCAGCACGAACCTTTTTTTCGTGCGCGAACGTTCGCGAATATTCTCGAAAGCACAATCAGAACGTTCCCTTGTTCACATCACTAATTGTGAGGCTGAGTGGAGTAAGAAAGGAAAAAGATTGAGGTTCTAATCCTAAAAAATCGTCTATAATAATAAAGGAGTGACTTTACATCGGACTTTACTTTGTGGAATAGAATTCATTACCTAGAAGAACCACTCCAGGAACATTGTTGGTATCAAGAGCATAAGTACAAGAATTATAGTTTTTACTATGGCTAATTCTATTATCATGGTTCCTCAAAAAAAGACAGTTAATACACAAAAAAATATCAAAATTATCAAAAAATTTTTTTGGTGTCAAGCTCCCTTGATTTTTTTGCACCAGAGCAAAGAATTCACTTGATACAATAGGTACTGGTGGTGTAGTAATTAGGCTGGCTGCCAACTTGCTAGTTCCAAGTGCACTTGAACCATGTCAACCTAGCTTTAGCTGAAGCCAGGCTGACACGGTCCAAGTGTACTTGGATCAAGTACTCTTGGACGATACGCGAGCCCCTCTTGGATTGTATCAATAATTGTATCATCCAAGTCCAGTTGGATAGGTTCTAACATTAGGCTGGCTGCCAACTTACTTGGTCCAAGTTCTCATCCAAGTGCACTTGGACCATTTCAACCTCGCTTAAGAGCCTTTCGGTATATTTGAAATAACCTAAGTTTCACGGGTTATAAAGTAGTTTCTGAGGGTCAATTAATGACACTTCAGCTAGGCTAAAAGTCTCACAATTGTGAAGAAGTAGATAGCCTAACTAGATTAGCCTTTCATAGAGCGGAAATATCAACAATTTCACTCTGGAAGTTTCTAGCATTTCTGAATTCCTCTATTATATTAATAGGAAGTTCTAATATCTAGGTACTTGATTTTGAGCCTTATATCGAGATTTCATTATTGAATTTTTTAAGTTGAGTCACGTAGTGCTGAACACTTTCAAATACTGATTCCAGATTTTAACACTAATTTAAGAGTTCAAAGAACCCACCTACATGCAGAATGAACAATGAAAAAAATATCCCTGATATTCCACAATACACTATTTCAAGCATTTCTTAGCTATTTATCATATTTGACTACTAATTACTCATTTAGCAACAAATATATTGCCAAATTCCATGTAGAAATCGAGCTATTGTTTACTGGGATGCTTAGCTGTTGTGAGCAAGCAAACATCTAGTCCTAAACTACTTTTGAGCCACTCTCACCTTCATCTACTCCTTTAATCTGTATTTTAAAACCAATGTACAATTATTATTCACTTTTTAACTGTACAAACACAACACTTTGGACATTCGCGATGGCTTTAAAAGTTAAAAAAAAAAAAAAACATTAATTTAGCGTAGTGATAAAAGTGACCCTATGTTTGACAAAGCGAGCTCCAAAAATGCCAAATGACATATTCGATTCGATTAGGCTCGGTGTCAAAAACAGGTGATCTCTTCGACAACCGGTCACGTGATTAATCCATTGCAGCATCATTGGAAAGTCACGTGACAACTTGTCAAGTGCCGTATTAACATCCGCCATTTCCGTCCAAACTGTGGTAGAGTATTACTTGCTCCGAGAACAATCAGTTCTACACCTGTTCCAGAAGATCGTGCAAAGTGAAATTTGGAAATTTGTTGTGCTGACATTTTTGATTGTTAATGTTTTGGTTTGTTCTCCATATATTCATTTTATTCAATAGCCAAGAAAATCTAAGTTAGGAAAACCATTAAAAACCATAAATTGGAATAGCACTTTTGTACAAGTTGAGTACAACACTTTGGGAACTCGATATCACTCGCCTTTCATCAGTTATCGGTTTGTGTCAAGTTTGAGCGCACGGTGCAGCACAGTGTTCTGTGTTTGAAACGCAAAAATTAGCAGCTCTCGAATCGCAGTATGGCTGGAACACGAACATGCGCTTGAAGCATTTGCGCGCCAAAAAGCTCGATTGCGTGCTCAAAAGCGTCAGCTGGAAAGCGGCTCTAGTAAAACTCGTGCAAAAGTATGTTCTATTGTCAATTATTTAGCTCAGTTTTTTTTTTCTGAGAACCCAGTTCAATTAACTATTGCCCCAGTGCACTCTGGTACTAAATAGTTACAACAATGTAACAAAAATTGTGTAACACGTGATTATAAATTATTATATCGATACGGCTCGAGCTGATCAAAATTAAAGAGGGAAACTAACATATTATAAATTTTCTTAAGGAGAAATCGAGCCCTAAGGTCACATATCAACTCCATTGGGATTGCACTAGAGCATGTTCCAGATTGACAATGAATGAGGTTTGTTCGAACATGTTGAAAATTGTCCCATGATCGGTTTACAAGCAACTCTAAGGTTTGTTCCAACACGTCAAAAACCATCCCATGAATGGTTTCGAAACCACTCTGTATACGAATTTCCAGTTCTACGCCAATTTTTTGACTTTGCGCAGAATCGTGACGGTAAAAAAATACCGTTGTACGGTTTCTTGAGGTGTTTTCTCACGTCTCATATGTTTTTCAAAACAGTGTCACATGACGTCAACTTCTCGGCGCGAGAAAATCGTTTTAAAACTTGGATTAGGTTGTATTTCGGAATGGTTTGAACCAATTTTAATGTGACGTCATGGGTTTATTGCGAAAATAATACTGTTTCAAACCTGTTCTGAACCAGTTTCAAAAAGTGAACGCGAAAAAACAGCTTTGATCTTTTGGAGCAAAGTTATAGTTTGCGCTCATCAGCAGGACAGGGGGGGCTTTATTTGAAATTGATGCAACTTTGCGAACACGCAAATGACGTCATTCGCGATTGAAAATTGGTGCACGGCTTATTTGACATGCACCTTTTCATTCGCAAATTACGTCATTTGTGTCATATTTGCGTGTACGCAAAGTTGCATCAATTTCAAATAAAGCCCCCCTGATCCATAACGGAACAATTTTTCAGCGAACGCCCGTTTAATCGAATCATTCCTCCGGAGCGCTCCTAGAGCGGACGCCGGTTTTTGAATCATGTTCGCTTCGCTAACGATCACAGAACCTTGCGTTCGGTATTTTGCTCAAGGAGCAGAGCGTGCGGAGCGAACTCGTAATCACGTGAACAGCGAGCGAACAGAGCATTTGAACGCTGTATTCGAGTGCCCAAAATTTTAATAAACGAACGCAAATGAGCCTGCACCGAGTACACTTTTTAAATAACCGAACAGTAAATTCAAGCTTGGAGAACTCAGATCAAAATACTAAACGAACGGTGAAGTTTTTTTTTTTTTAAGATAATAGACCTATCTATTTTACCAGACAAAGAGGTAATAATACGAAAATTTCATTAGATAAAAAAAGACACAAAACGCTCATTGCGCAAGACGAGGCAAAACGTACCAAATTATGTTAGACTTACGTATAGCAATGCATCCTTCTTATTTGCACGGGCTAAAAAGGGAAAGAGGAAGACCGCGCGTTGTGGAACGTATTTGTCAAAAAAAATTTTGAATGACACTTGTGAAGCTATGTCAAGTTGAATATCAACCGTAATTTTATTCTTGTCAGACCACGGGCAATGAACAAGGACAAGGATATGCCGGGCATGCAAAACGAACACCTCACACCTGTACTAGTTAGCCAATAAAAAGGCATTGCCTCGTGTTGCGCGCGCATACCAGATAAAAATAGATAGGTCTATTCCCCAAATCAAAAATTTAGTAACTATGTTGGCAACACAAGCCTTTTCCATTGCCATTTCTACATAAAAAATTTGAAAGCATTGACAATTTTACATTGTATTGCCAACATAATGTCACTTTGACTTTTATCGTTAAAAAAAACAGACTTTATGTCGTTTTACAGTGACGCACTTTAAGCAATACTGAGCACTGAGCTGCTCTAGAGCGCCTCGGGCTGTTTATAGGCTTTCCAGCTCATCAGAGTTTCGCGCACTGAAGTGTTCGTCTTCCTCTTCCCTGCCCTCTCAAGCTCCTCTAATTTTATGGGTGCACCAAAAACACGACGCAAAGTAAGATGCGTTCCAGTGAAACAACAGTTGCTTGGAGCACCAGAGTGTGAAGCTACGGGTATGGAGCACCTTAAAATTCGTCACTGGAAAGCAAGGATAATGTACACGTACACGACTTAAATCCGTTTTTCCGTCGAAATATGTCCGTTTAACATTCTATTCTGACATAATCGTATATAAATATGTCAAAATAGAATGTCAAACGGACATATTTCGACGGAAAAACGGATGCATGAAAATCCTCCCTTAAGCTTACTTTTCATGCATCCGTTTATCCGTCAATTCGTTGATCCGGAAGTATTCCTATTGGTCCAATATTCTGGCGCCAAAATATTGGACCAATGGGAATACTTCCGGATCAACGGATTGACGGATAAAGGGATGCATGAAAAGTAACCCTAGGATTGCTTATCGGCCTCGTTTTTGGTAATCGTCGCCATATTAGGGCGGGTATTATAAAACTGCTTTGACAGTTAACTTAAAGTTAACTTTTTGAATTACATGTAATTCCAGAAGTTAACTTTAAGTTAAGGGAGGATTTTCATGCATCCGTTTTTCCGACGAAATATGTCCGAAAAACATTTTATTCTGACATAATCGTATATAAATATGTCAAAATAGAAGACTTTTCGGACGTATTTCGACGGAAAAACAGATGCATGAAAATCCTCCCTAACTCTCAAAGTAGTTTTATAATATCCGCCCTTAGTGTCACTATTTCCGACGTCATTAACAAGTCATCAGCTGTTTGCTTGCATTAGAGGTCGTAGTTTGGAATTTAAATTTATGATGAAAAAAAGGTCATTCACTCTGACTGGTTTGTGATTTCTGCAGAAACAGACCTATTACATATTTAATTTTGATCAACATAATAAGCAAAGAGGAAGATGAAAACGAGGTCTAAGAAATAGTTGTTTAAGGCCCGTTTTATTCGTCTTCAGATAAACTTGTTGTTTACTATCTGCAAGATAAATATACCGTTCTATAATTCTATTGGTCGGCGGATAACTAGCTGACCAATGGGACAACAGATTGAGTTTTTATCCGTCAGGTTGGATACTTGACAATTTATCAGAAGATGAATAAACCGGCTCTTAGAATGTTAATTAATGTAGTAAAATCAAGTATGCATGAAGCAAAATCTCGCGGAATCATAGCCTATAGTGCAAACAACCCAAGGATCAAACAACCTACGTCAAGGCGAGAAAGGGCATGCGGCCTACGTCACATCCGGTGATTTGGCGTGGTGGGGGGCTTCAGATTTGTTCCACACAGTCCTTATGGAGGATAGGCTATCCTGTAGTTGTAGTGTGTATTATCCTTGACTGGAAAGCGGTTCAACAGGAGTCAGGACGAAAATAGAGGACGCGGACGGTAATTTTCTGTTTTGTCCTTGTGGAGTGTAGATTTATTAATTTGTTGAAATGAAAACTTCTCTAGACTCTAGACTCGTTCAGAACGAAAAATTTTCAAGGTAGTGAATGAGATTGAGCCGTCACGTCCAAATTTTTAACGCTCATTCGGTCGGATACGATCGGCTCGAGTCGAGTACAGCGTTGATTGAGGAAGTAGAGTACTTCCTCAATCAACAAGTACAGCCAAGCGAGAGAGTGAAACAGTTAGCAATGTGAGAGATAGAGAGATAGTGCGATTTGGATTCTATTAAAACTCCGCCTATAATCTAATTTTCGCGACGAATGTAGTTCTTCCAAGGACGAACCATAAACCAAATTTTCGCCTGTAATAGTAGTAGTAGTTATGGCGAAAACCATTGGTGAAATTAGTGTAAAAAACATGTATTTCTGTCACTTTCTTTTACATCATGCTAGTAGAAGAGGACACGAATGCACTCAGTGCGCACTGAACTTAACAATGGATTTCACTCTTAGTGTGTATTATCCTTGGTACGAATGGTCCAAGGCGGCGCGAGAATCATCGCCATTTTGTATACTTGTAGAGTATCATGCTCCAAACTGTTCGACATAAGTAGCACTGGAACGCGCTCGTGTGGTGGGTGGTAGCTTCTGACGTCTGACCGATTTTATTTGACATTTTGTTCTATTTTTCCCAATGAATTTTCCATTGAGGATTTTTCCCTCTGTTCATCAATAGTTCTTTATAGCCCTCAATTACCTAAAATGTAAAAATTGATCAGGTTATTGAATATTTAACAATAAGATCAAAACAATAAGAAATTTGACGAAGAATAAAAAACCGTCAAAACCGAACGAAAATAACCTCAATTTTCTCATCTCCACCATTTCGGACAGGGTCATGAAACCACTCGTGAAACACGTGAAACACCGAAATAAAGGTTGGTGCACGAGGGGGCAGGGGATAACAGAAACACTGGAACGCGCAAAGTGGAGCACTCCTGAGCTGAGTCTTGTTATGGCAATCGGATGACGTCATCAGGTGGTTCTTATTACATTACCATTACATGTCATTGGTTCTTACCTGTTCTTACGGAGATTTGCATGAGGCATACAATACAGATGACATCATAAAAGTTATGAGGCACTTTTAAGCAACCTTGATCGATCCAAACTTAAGATCCAAACCATAGCTGTTTTCTCGCGTTCACTTTTGTAAAACTACTGGTTCAAAATAGGTTCGAAATAGTAGGTATATTCTACAAACCAGTTTTGAAAAATTTTTCAAAACTATGAGACGCGAGAAAACACCTCAATACCTACTTGACCTACGATTCCACGATTTTTCTTTATTTCGACAAATTTCAGAGCCGGTAATAGACAAAAATTGATCTGGAAAAATTGAGAAGTAATTAAGACGAATTAATTTTCTATTGAAAGTATCGATATTTTCTCATATTGATATCGATATGAAAGGAAAGAAAATATCGTATCGATACCTGTCCGATGAATATCGATTAACCCATCTCTATTTCAGCCGCCTGCCTAATGAATGGTTCAACAGTTTAGCCATAGATGACGATAGTGCGGGCTCTTCCCGTCTCCTAAAAAACGCTGTTTTGTCTGTCAGTGTCATGAATTTTTGATAATCAAAAATTATTGAAATTACCCCAGAGTCTTTTTACAAACAAAAAAATTAAAAAATAAATAATTACAATTACTTGTCCAGACATTCCCATTTGTATCGCATTTCACCTACTTTTTAACTAGTAATAATGAATTAAAGTTGCCAATATGGATTTTGGAAAGCACAGAAAAGGGAAAGGTAAGTTCCAGAAACACATAAAAACAACCCTATTGTAAGGGATATAAAGGGAATTATAAAAAAAACTATTTTCCACTTTAATGTAACATATTCTTGGAGATTCTGGCAACTGATAGCGATAATTAGATAGTTTGTTTCATAACTATTTTCCATAAACGCGGAAAATCATATTGATATTGGCAATTAGAAATATTATATATTATATCCATGAACTGGATGCAAATATTTTCTGATGCTCTTTTTTGACCCCTCAAGAAGTATATCAGGACACTACAGTTTCAGCTTTCAGTGTGTCCTTTCCTTTCTATAATCTAAGTCACAAAACTTGCAAAATTCACTAGAAAAATGAGTTATCTGAAATCTACTCTACACATTTATCTCAAAAAAAAAAAAAAGATTTATCTAAAGCCTGTAGCTATTATCTTAAATCCAAATCCTTAAACATCAGTGCTAAATAAATCCAACTTTTTAAGATTCAAGGATTTCAGTTTGATGTTTGATATGAGAGATACGAAAGATGTCTGGAATACAGATAATATACTAGCAATTCTGAATTTATCATCTTTAGTTTGTACCCCTTATCAATAACATTAATGTCTATATAGTCATATTATTGCACAAATCCAGGTTCTTTATTTGTAAGATGATGCAAAATGAACTATAAACAACAACTAAATTATGCTTAATAAGTAGGTACGCGAAAGGAAACAGTAATTAAAGTAGGTACCTAACTACTCATCTCTAATCTAAGGCATATATATATACTTCATAAATTGAGACTAATCAAGAAAACTTTGACTTATTCCTGAACAAAAATGGAAATTTGCCAATAATTATTAGAGGTCATTTATTTTAGAAAAAAAAATGAACAATTTTTCAGATATTGGCAGAGCCAGATCAGCTCTAAGCGTGTCAGACGTCGAATATTACCTGAATTTACCAGTGAGCTGTCCGACGTCTCCTGCAGCATCAACTTTAACGCTGACCCCTGGTAGAATTCGCAATATCGATCAGGATATGGAACATTTGAGGGCCTCCAGACAAGACAATCCATTTATACAGGTATTTTTTTTTTTGTTACATTCCAAAGGAAATTATTTAAGGTACAACAATATTTTCTAGCGTTGTCTGAAGTCGCGAATTATAAGGAAGAACATTGATGGTTTAAGTAAAATCAAATTGTTGCAGGTGAAATAATATGTTTTCTTTTTTGTTGAAGTGCATGTTATTGCGGCTAATCAAAATCATTTCAAAAAACAAGTAGGTAGTAAATTTGCAGTTTTTTCAATATTGCATATTAATTGGTTTTGGTCATTTCATTTACATTTAACAGTGAGTTTAATAGTAATGGTGCATTATATACAGGGTGCTACAAATTCTCAATTAACTATGGGAATCCAGTCATTATAAGAGATACAGGGTGGGTTAAATTGGGGAAAAGTTACGCAATCGAAGACATACTTCAAAATAGATGGCACTTATCATTGTCACTTTTTCTCCTCTACAATATGGCATTATCAAATTTGTAATCTGTGGTTTTGTCTTTGGGCCACCATCATCAACGTAATTTTTTTTTTAATCCGGCTCTGGATTTTTTATTTAGTCCTTTGAATTTTTGACTTCCTTAACACATTGCATGCCATGTATATATTGGGAAAATATCCCACGAGGCCACGCGTGTTTTTCTCTTATTTTTTATAGAATTTTTTATTTTTCTTGCTATTCAATTCACAAGATTAACATTGATGTCTTTGGAAAAGATAGGTATAATACAATGTTTGATTCAAAACCCCTCAAGAAAAATAGTAAATAGGCAAATTTGCCCAAAACAAGTATACCGATATGTTCCGCACAGGCCACTTTTTAAATTGGTATACGGAAATATGCGTATCGTCAGGCAGGTATGATTGACACGGCCTGGTACGCTAAAGTGTACATCAAGCATATACAGGGTGACAATTTGAAAAGTAGCAATCGGGAATATCTCTTATACAAAAAATACTATCAGGAAGATCTCAAATAAGTATCGGGAGATTGGAGGGGGAACCAAAATGAGGCACTTTTTGATTCACCCCGCCTCACCTGTTAGGAGGAAGCTACCCTAACTTATTTTTTTCGAATACAAACCTATCTTATGTTGCACATCGGTGGATAGCTCGATGTTTTCCTTTTACGGTCAGCAAAATCTTAAATCGTACGATTAGTTTTTGGCATATTGATATAAGCATATTTTTTAATGTACCTACCTAGTAATTTTGACTACATATCTCTTAGACAAAAGGATTCTGTTATAAAAGTATCAAATACTGTCAAATACACATCGGAGAAACCAAATGTGCTTATTGCCTAATGATTTTTCTAAAATGAGAAACTACCCCGTGTGATACCTCCTTTGAAAGGTTTTTCATTCCTTTTTAGAGGCGTGACCATTTCAATCCAGCTACAATATAGAACATGATCACTTGACTGTTCATCTGGAAAACACAAAAACAATTTTGTCTGGCAATATTGAAGAGCAATCAGCTATTCTATTAAAGCCCCATCAGGCTGAATCCACTTGGAACCACGTTTTGCAGCTGACAGCCAATAGCAAATCATAATTCAACCATTTCTCGCCGGTATTCGGTAGTGCCCCACTGCTACACTTACCTTTAATAGTATAATCGTGCAACAAATGGGATCCTAACCTATTATGGTGGACGGCTTCCCCGGGGGACACCAATTACCAAAAAGAAATAATCAAACCATGATTTGTTGCCCTGGGTATCAGTGAAACGCAAGTTCAATTGTTAAGAGGAAGTTATTGAAAACCTCTACAGCCAAATGCTTAAAGTCTAATACCAAACATGCTCAACTAGAAGCTTACCAAAATTCCGATTTGAAGGGCAGTTAGGATCATAGCTTAGGGATTTATTATTTTTTTGATAGTTTATTCTTCCACAATAGTCTAATTCCGAATGACAAATATAAAAATAGGTACAATAGCTTGTTTACATCACCCTGGTCCCTTTTTTTCTTACTTCAGTGATGATTCATCAATTACTTACGTCGAGACTTAGGTATAATATTGAGGTAAACAAATCCTTCCATTTTTACTTGCTTGAACGCACAAACCACTAATTTCAGATTGTTTCGATAATGTAATGAAAAACCTTTTGAGAATGATCATTATTCAAGTGGTAAAAATTGCCAAAACTACTTAGTGCTAAACAATTAATTATCATTTTTTGATGTGGGTATCCAATATATACTTATTAACTATTTCCGAGTTACATAACGCAGAAATGACTTTGAAAATAAAAAAAACATATAGGTGTCCCTTCTACGCCTTCGTATGTACTGGTATTACTTTGTAGATATATAACTTTTCAATCCATCCACACTGACCAAATATATGTACGTCCAATTCAACGACGTCAAATGGACACTTCATAGACATCTTAATACAGGGTATTTTTTTCTGAATATGTCATATTTGGTTTTACGTGGTAACTTTTGAACCTGTTGGTTCATGTCATGGTCAAATAAACGTTCACTACGTGATGTCCCAAACAAGTCATATTTTGCAACTTCTCTCTGAAGTCGAATTTTGGTTAATCGACGTAGCTCTATTTAAAATCGACGTCATAATGACTAACCTTTGCTGCTTAGGATGTTTGTTGGAATAGGAAAAGAGACCTGCTGGAAAACATCCTCCAGCATTTTAAATGTTTGAATGGATTTGGATCAGACGACTTTTTCACAGATCTGTTTTTGTATTAAAATTGTTTTCGCTAACATCCAATGTTCTCTATCTTAGACCTGGCTTATTCATCTTGAGATAAACTTGCTAATAACTGTCTGCAAGATAAATTTACAGATCTATAATCCTGTTGGTCACTGGATAATTGGTTGACAAATGGGATTACATATTGCGTTTTAAGTAGACTTAATTATGTTGTTTGTATTCCAGGCTCTTGAATTTTCTTTATGTAGAGATATTTAGAAGGAACAATTCAAGAGCCGAGAATAGGCAAAAATGGAGATGGAGAAATTCAGAAATTAAGGAAAATTTCTAAAAAGCACAAGTATCTGTGAGAAGAAAACCATCATTCGACCATTTCACAGATTCAATGGGTTTGCCTAGTGATACTACTACTACTGCTCAAAGATAGTCAAAATTACTAGTTTTCAAAATGTGCTTACATTTAAACCCCGATATCCCGAAAACTAATGGTAAAATTTAAGATTTTACTATAAGACTATAGAGGGAAAGAAACGAGCTATCCAACGATGTACAACACAAGGCAGGTTCAAAAAAAATACGTTAGGGTAGCTCCCCCCTAAGGGGGAAGGCGCGGTGATTCAAAAAGTGCTTCATTTTGGTTCCCCCTCCAATTCTCCGATACATATTTGAGATCTTCCTTATATATTGTCTAAGAGATATTCCCAATTGCTACTTTTGAAATTGTCACTCTGTTTGTCCGACGTGGCCTTAATGGAAACATCACTGTCGGGCAGTTATGCAATGTGTTAATGCAATGGTGCATCAAAACAATCAATGAAATGAACATTTCAATGAAGTTTTGAGTATGTTATTAATTTGTATGGAAATACTCATCTTTATCAAACACGTTGTTCTCTTCATAAATTTGTCTTTATCTTTATCAAACTCGTTATTTTATGGCAAGTAGTTAATGTGTCCAAGATAAGTAGGGCCAGTATGGGGATCTGATGATATGGTGGCCCAAAGACGAAACGTCAGATTACAAATTTGATAATGCCACATTGTAGAGGAAGAAAAGTGGCAATGACGAAGTGCCATTTATTTTGAAATATCTCTTCAAATAAGGTCAGGGAAGAATAAAATCGTTTTGGGCGAATTTCGGGTTTTCTCGGATATCTCCGGAATCACTCAACATTTTTCAAATATCAGAGCGGTGTTTCAATGAGCACAAAATTACACAACTTTTTCCTAATTTGAGCAACATCGTATCTTTAACTGTTTATGAGATCCCCATACTGGCCCTCCTTATCTTGGACACATTGTATAATCGTTTTTATGTTGTGCTTAAGTGATGAAATTTCAAATTTTTTTATGCTGAGATTATTTAAATCAATTCTAAAATGTGTATAGGTAAGCCATTTTGTCAAGCAAGCGCATAAAATTTACCAAAATAAAAACTATCTGATACTAGTTCAAGTTCCTAGACCCATCTCCAATTTAATATTTTTCCAAAATCATATCTTTACATTTTTTTTTTTAGAAAGTAATTGCTAGTAGAGAAAGCCTTTTGGAATCGAGTCTTGACGAGGAATCGGACAATGCAACTTTGATGTCCAAGGTAAAAGCTCAGATCTTTAGAAAAGATGAAGATTATTTTTCCCAAATGTTTTTTTTTTCAGGAATTATCATTGGATTTAGATGTAGACCCACTATCTTTACCAGAAATGCACGAACACATGATACGCAGCCCGCCGCCCACTCATTGGCCCAGATCTCCTAACTTTAGAGCTTTCGATTTCCCACCTGAAAAAGATGATACCCTACAAGTGGAAGTTAATGTAAGTATTAGGGCTGCTTTACACACATTACTAACGCAACATTTCCATCTGTAATATAAATTCAGTGGTGCCAATAGAATCTTTTACCTCAATTTCAGCAAACCAAAGAAAGATCCAAATCTACAGAAATCAAACCAAAACATTCCAGTTGGTCCGACTCAAGCGATGGATCTCTGAAATCCTTCAAAGCTCATTACTACCACGACAGATTCTCACTCTTGACTAACAGCACTCTCAGGCCGTCAGCAGAAGACAGCATTCGTTTAATGGGTGAAGATTGAAAAAAGGCAACTATTTGCTCGATGATTTTTGATCCGTACCACTAGGTTATGGAGTGTTCTAGATTACGAAACGTTTTATTAAGAAAAAAAAAGTGTTCCATGCTTTAAAGCTTGCCGAATTGAATTGAATTTCCATATTTACAGGGACGACAATTTATTTGAATGTTATTTGGTAGATAAATTTAAAAAAATATTTAGGCCATAAGGAGCAATTTAAAGTGCCATACCTTGCCATTAATGTAATTAATTTGTTTGGAAAGTAGAAGTTTCAAAAAAAGAAAAATATTTAACTCGTGTTAAGTTTGTTGAATTTTTTTTTTTAGAAGTTTTAAACTTCACACCAAGGTGATAATACAAAAAAAAAGTAAACGTCTAGTCATTGATCAACGTTTTTTGTTACTTATATTGTTATTATATGATTTAGTTGAATTTGAATGTTCCTTATAAAACATTCCTATAAAATAAGGTGTAACCAAAATTAAAATATTGATCTCTTGCAAGTTAATCCATATTTATAAATAATGTATTTAGGAATTGTTGTAATGTTACTAGCCTTCTTTAAAAAGATAACTGTACTGTTTAAGTATAAAGTTCTTATTAAGCGAATAAAATGATTTGCATGTGTGGTAAAAATATTGTTATTTCTTTTGCCTTCAAAATTGAGGCTCTTATATTTATTGAAAAAAGATGTATTTATTGTTAGACAAATTATTATTATTATTGTTCCTTTTTCTTTATTATTTACTTAAATGTCCCAAGGAATTATATAAATAAAAATTTATTCAAACATTTGTTAGATTTTCCTAGAAATTAATTTGTACAGGGTGTCCCATTGAAGATGGGAATTGGGGTTATCTGGTAAACTCATAGAGGTAGATTTTTATTTTTTTATTGATTTCGCATTCCCGGGCCAATTTTTTATGACGAATCGAATGCCGCAAACCACAGGTCTTTATCTTATTTCGTTTTGGAGATACAGGGGTGAAACTTGAAATGTTCACTTTTCGAGGATAGTCTAGAGATAGATAGAGACCTGTGGTTTGCGGCATTCGATTTGTCATAAAAAATTGGCCCGAGAATGTGAAATCAAAAAAAATCTACCTTCAGGAGCTTAGCACATAACCGAGGTGTGTTTCACTCGTGCAGTAGGTTTACAAATATCAAACATTCAGTATATGCAGTCCATACATTCTTCTGCAGTTCATACATTCTCATGTAGTCAATGGAATACATGGATTCATGCAGTCATAATACAGTCGTTATAAACTCTGCGCAGTCTGAGGTGCAGTCACATGCAGTCAAGTACATTCCATATACACTTGCGCAAAATCATAAGCAGTCGCTGCGAGTGAAGCCTGCAATCTTGTTAGAAATTGCTCAAAAGTCAATGCAGTCAACTATCATCTTTGATGCAGTCAAATACAGTGGGTGTACAAAATATAGTGGGTGAAACACCCCTCGCACATAACCCTAATTCCCACCTCTTCAATGGGACACCCTGTACATTTGACTGAAACAAATTAAAAGTTCTTGACCAGTTATAACTATCAAAAGATGGGGTGCATAGCAAATTCTGTTCCACTTTATGTAACCCAAAAAAGTTAAATAAAACACTAAACAAATGTGGTTCTTTATTTTATATTTTGTATCTAATCCCAAAAAAAAGAACATTTTACTCAAAATACTTACACTTTTCCGCTAAAGTCATACTTCTAAATAATAATAAATGAAAAGTCACGTAAATGTAGGAATTAGACTATTGCCAAAAAAAAAAATCCTTAATTAACTTACAGGCAGAAAAGAACCTAACCAGAGGTGAGCTGCTTTTTTTTAAATAAATCAATTGATTTCTAATTCAAGATCCATCAAAACACATGGATTTTTTTTAATCACTATACACACAGATGTCAACCAACATAGAATCTTAAGAGTAACTATAAATACTGTTAGTTCAACTTAGAAAATTGATACCAATTTGAAAAAGACAACTAATTAATGGAAAAAGATTACCGTTCAATGCAAATTATTTTAAATAAAATGTAATTTATGTACATTTTTTTGAATATATTTGTTCAATTTTCCAAGTAGATTGTTCCTAAACAATACATTAAATTTTGGACATATGCATTCAACATTCAAACATTCTCATTTTTGTAGGTGAGACATATTAGTATTAAAATCTATATGGGCCAAATTACCTGGAAACATCTCAAATAATTTTTTTTTGTACAAATTTCAACAAGTTTTAAACAGTTTATGTTTATTTTTTTTTAGGAAATATAAAGTTTATATCAAAAAATGTTTTATTATGATAAATATGTTTTTATTTGAAATGTTCCCACACATATTCATAAGTCAAAAAAAAGGACCTTCTTTGAAGAAATTCTGAGATAATTTGTTAATTACTTAGACCTATTTTTTTCTTCCTATTTACATACACTAAATTGCCATGGAAATAAATCAAAATCAATTTTAGGCCAATAAATAATAATAATTATTATAAGCTCCCAAAATTATGAAAATAATATTGTTACACTAAACCTAAAACATCGTTGAGATAATACTTAACCAATCCAAAAATATACATACATGTTAAGTGATAATGCTTAATCTTAAGAAAATAAAGGATAGTAATTAATTATTCAAAAATGTTACCTTTACATTTTGTGCCCTTAACAGCATTTCGCTAAATTTATTTCCTGGAGGATTTCCTTACGGTTCTGGAATTTTTCCCATTTGAACTGGTCTTAGGGGTCGCTTTACTGGTCGAAGCCACAGCTTTGCTTGTAGAAGCTACAGCTTTACTAGTTGTAGCTACAGCTTTAGTACCAGATTTTTCATCTACAAAAACAACTTTCTTAGTAATTTACCTGAAAAAAGTGTTAAAGTTTATGGTTTTGTGTGTGTCAATTTGGTATAACGAGCTCTAAGTGGGATCACCTAAAAATATCAAAAAAAATAACTAACTTTTCCTTAATTTTACACACCTACCCCTTTGAATTAGTGGAAAAACAAAAAGGTCAAAAACACATTGAGAAACTGACAGGAAAGGGGCACAAATGGACAAAAGTCCATCATTTTTCTGAGAATCATCCATAAAATCATTCAACATCCATTTTGGCTGCCACAATTCAAAAATTTCCTAAAGGGCCACTGCTATCATCATAGAGACGATTGTACAAATAGATGTAAGTTGTAAGTTGAAAGTATTAAAATAACTGTTCAACTTTTGCTGTTTGAAAATCCACAGAGTGACATTTGAATTTTCAACTCCAAAAGAATAAATTTCAAGTTCCAAATATGTAACATATTTCAAAAAACAATCATGGTGATCCCTCTACCACATTTCACAACATCAATATAGATTTCATGCAATTATTATCTTACTTTTAGTGGTATTTTTGGCATTTTTTGAAGTAGCTGCTACTGCCGTCTTCTTGCCTATTCGAGCCAACACTTTAGCTTTCTTCGAGTCTACAACCGGGCTAGTTTTGGTGCTGGATCTACTGCTGGACCTGCCAGATGTTCTGTTGCTGCAAAAATTGATAATATAACAATGTTTTTCATATTAAATTAAATTATTACTTTGATTTTTCTTCGACTGGTGCTTTGCTTGGAACCTTTTTAGCAGGTGCTTTTTTAGGTGCTGCTTTCTTGGCAGGAGGTTCGACCTTCCGTACTTTAGAGGCTTTGGGGCTCTTTTTGGTGGGCGTTTCTTTAGGAGACACTGAAGGTGTTGCTTTACGGCTCCTCTTTTTCGCCTTCCTCTTTCTTGTTTGTTCTTCGTCACCACGATACAATGAAAGATCCACTAAAAAGAATACAATGAAATAAATTAATATGAAATACAAGGGAAAAGAGACTTGTGGCACAACAATACTGAAGAAAATTACCATTAGTACCTACCAGCATTAAAATATTAAGGTCAAAAGTTGTACATTAATATGAACAAAATCTGTTGACAATATCAAAAAAGTTATTTTCCTGTGTTAACTCTAAACACACCGAGTTCAGTATTGTTGATAAAGCAACTCTAGTCCCATTTGAATCTAACCAGGAGGTTGCAGAGAGTTTTGCACAGCAATTTCAGAGTATTTTTATTATTAATATAAGCAGTACACTCAAAATATTGAGAAAAAGTAACTTTTCTTGCAGCAAGCATGCGATCTTGCATTCATCTCAGGAACTATAAGTGCAAATGAGCTGAAATTTTCAGGGATTGTAGTCCTTTGAGAGGGATAAAATTCAGTGAAAGTTTCAGCTTTCTATCTATAATATAAAAAAAGTTATGACTTTTCAAAGTTTTCCAAAATCTAATGAAATTTCATTTTTTTTTTGTCGAGATTTTGTATCCTAATGGTCAATCAACATACCTCAAACGCTATACACTAAATTATTCTCAGATTTGAAGCCGAAATCTATGAAAAAAGGCACTCAGAAAAATTGATAAATCACCCCAAATTGCTTAACACGATTTTATCTCAGGAACTATAAGTGCAAATGAGCTGAAATTTTCAGGAATTGTAGTCCTTTGAAAGGGATAAAATTCAGTGAAAGTTTCAGCTTTCTATCTATAATAGAAAAAAAGTTGACTTTTCAAAGTTTTCCAAAATCTAAATCATAAGGTAAGTACCTTCTTCATAAAACGATGAAATTTCAATTTTTTTTTTGTTGAGATTTTGTAACCTAATGGTCAATCAACATACCCCAAACTCCATACACTAAATTATTCTCAGATTTGAAGCCGAAATCTATCAAAAAAGGCACTCAGAAAAATTGAAAAATTGATAAATCACCCCAAATTGCTTAACACGATTTTATCTCAGGAACTATAAGTGCAAATGAGCTGAAATTTTCAGGAATTGTAGTCCTTTGAAAGGGATAAAATTCAGTGAAAGTTTCAGCTTTCTATCTATAATAGAAAAAAAATTATGACCTTTCAAAGTTTTCCAAAATCTAAATCATAAGGTTCTTACTAAAACGATGAAATTTCAAATTTTTTTTTGTCGAGATTTTGTAACCTTTGATCAACATACCCCAAACTCCATACACTAAATTATTCTCAGATTTGAAGCCGAAATCTATGAAAAAAGGCACTCAGAAAAATTGAAAAATTGATAAATCACCCCAAATTGCTTAACACGATTTTATCTCAGGAACTATAAGTGCAAATGAGCTGAAATGTTCAGGAATTCTAGTCCTTTGAAAGGGATAAAATTCAGTGAAAGTTTTAGCTTTCTATCTATAATAGAAAAAAAGTTATGACCTTTCAAAATTTCCCAAAATCTTAATCATAAGGTTCTTACTAAACGATGAAATTTCAATTTTTTTTTTTGTCAAGATTTTGTATCGTAATGGTCAATCAACATACCCCAAACTCCATCCACTAAATTATTCTCAGATTTGAAGCCGAAATCTATCAAAAAAGGCACTCAGAAAAATTGAAAAATTGATAAATCACCCCAAATTGCTTAACACGATTTTATCTCAGGAACTATAAGTGCAAATGAGCTGAAATTTTCAGGGACTGTAGTCCTTTAAAAGGGACAAAATTCAGTGAAAGTTTCAGCTTTCTATCTATAATAGAAAAAAAGTTATGACTTTTCAAAGTTTTCCAAAATCCAAATCATAAGGTACTTCTTACCAAAACGATGAAAGGTCAATTTTTTTTTGTCGAGATTTTGTATCCTAATGGTCAATTAACATACCCCAAACTCCATACACTAAATTATTCTCAAATTTGAAGCCGAAATCTATGAAAAAAGGCACTCAGAAAAATTGATAAATTACCGCAAATTGCTTAACACTATTATTATAGATTCTATAGGTCCATAGAGTCGATTTGACTCAAAGGACACTGACCTTTGACCTTGTGGATTCAAAATAGAATTAAAATGTATTCGTTGTACGAAGTTTGGTGTTGTTTTTGGATGAAAAAAGCACTCTAAAACGAATGGAAAAATAAAGAATTCTGTATGTTTTGTCCCTTGAACCCTAGGGTAAAAATTTGGTGAAATAAAGTATTTTTTAAAATGTGGCACCATTGCCATTGCGTCACTGAAGGCTATAATTTCTTTTGGTACTCCTGGTTTATATATCAAACCAATCTCAATGATACCTTTTAGGTAAAGAAATGGTTCTAAAGTTCTACAAAGCGTATGAAAGACCAAAGCTCGAAAAAGCCTATTTTATCTGGAACCCATATTACATCAAAGACATTGAACTGATTGAGAAAGTACAGTGCCATATTACAAGGATACTTAATAAACTAAAATAGTGACCCTACTAGAGCCACCTTAACCAACTAAACCTAACTACATTAAAAGAAGAATGAGGGGAGACAAACACAGTAGAATAGACTTAGCCATGAAACAATTAGTGCAACCTCGAGTGCAACATAAGTAAATTAATTTAAAAACCATTTGGATTCAGAAATGAAGGGCTGGCACAATACATCATTTGTGCATTGGTGTTTAATTTGTGAAAAACTAAAAGATTAAATTGTGTCATCGGTTACCCATTCGCCTAATAAAAAATAAGCTATAAAACATTAAAAAAATTCTTACATCCATCTGGGTGTTCTTCTGTCAAAGAAGGCGACGATATTTCTTCCCCCTTTTCAACTGCCAAGGCTCTATTCAATATGCTTTCAGTTCTGGATTTTTCAGACGTTGGCAGTATGAATTTGCCTTTTTCAGCTTTTTTCAAGCTCAAATTAGTCAGTATACAGTCAAAATCTACAAAACAATATAATAAATTCCATTCAAAACATATTAATTTGTATTTAATACCAATGTTGTCATAAAAATCAGGAGTGTAAATTTCTCCTTTAGCATTTTGCGATTCTTGCGATAACCACCTGATCCTGATTTTAGGCGAACTTTTGTAAATATTCTGAACGGCTTGACATAAATAAAAGCCCCCTTCAGCATTTCGCACAGCTAAGAATTCATTTCTAAAAACAAAAATAATAATAAATTCAGCCTCAAAAAAAATCTTTTCTCACTTATAAAAAACTATTAATTTCTCATCATTATTCTTCAAAATAGTAGTACTCATTTTTGATACCAATTCAATCTCAGGCAAAGGACTTTGATAATGCTGAGTCCTCATTCTTTGCCTTTTTGAAGCTTGAATTCCAGAAGAGCTGGCCACCGACTTATCTACTACAGATTTTGCTTTGCGAGGTGCAGCTTTGGCAGTAGGTTTGGCTTCTTGTTGCACTTGGCTTTTCCCAGGAGACGGTGCCTCTTTAGTTTTAACTTTATCAGCCACAGGAGTTGTTTCTTTTTTAGCTGGTTCTTCTGGTTTAGGAGATTCAGCTTCAGGTTCTGGGGATTCGGATTGTTCTTTTTCATCTTGCTCAGGTTGTTCCTCTTCGTTTGTGGGTGATGGGGAATTGGATTTTTCGTCTTCGGAGTCTGCTGTTGGACTCTCAGGTGTAGGGACTTTTACACTAGTAACTTCCATAGTGGTGGAGTTTTGAATATTATCAGCAGTTTTGGTTGTTGGTGGTGGAGTTTCTGGAGCACTATTTTGTGCTGGAGGAGCAGAAACTTTATCAACTTCCATATTGAATTTCTGTTTTGATAAATACATATTTTAATTTAAAAAAAAATATTGAAGTGAATATATTATTTACTTGTGGTGAATGAGATATTGTTACAGAGGGTCTAGGTTGAGCAAGTGACAAAGGGGCAGATTCACCATCAGCAGTACCATTTGCATGAGATTTTTCCGGTTGTTCAGCAATTTGTGGTGCTAAATTGGCAACTGGTTGTACTGGAGTAGGTAATGGTGCAGATAGCTGTATAAATTTCAAATATTTACCAGGAAATTATTGATTTTATTTTAACTTACAATGGGTTTTTGTACATTATAATTTTGTCCATGTCCAGTAGCTGCAGCAGCGAGGTTAGCTACTGGATGGTTGCTGGGAGGCGCTTGGTCTGGATTTTGATTAAATTGTCCAGTTGAACTTGTTGAAATGTTCAAGGCAAAATGTTGATTTGAGTAATTCAGAGCTGAATTGGCATTCGAATGCATGTTAGACTGAAATTAATGTTGGGCTCATTAAAATCACATAAACATCGTATTATCAAGAAATTAATGTAAACAATAAGTGATTTTTTGATTGCAAAAAAGCTGTTTATGTAATATTTAATTGGATTTTATACAAATCTTATGCTAATGATAAATTTATAACTTTAAAATGAACAAAATGATGAATAATAAATGATAAAATTGCTTGTTGCAATACTGTGGCATCATTTGCTTATGAAGATCCCCGTAAAGTATATGGAGATAAACAAAAAATGAAAATAAAATACAGATTACAAAAAAATTGTTCATAAGCGTAAAAATTGCGTTTAAAAAATGTTAATTTGGCCAGAAAGTGGCTCAAACGAGTAGAAACATGTTATAAAAATTGGCTTGCTTGAAAATGTAAACAATTTCCAACTCCCCCTTAGCAGCCAAGCATATTTTCCTGTGAGGCTAAAATACTAGCGCTAGGGTGATAAAAGTAGCATAAATTCAAAATTAAAGTCCAAAATCAACTTACCAACATAATACAACATAAAAATGCGGATTTATTTTCACAATTTACAAGGAAAAAACATTTACAAATTCATTTATGGCGTCTACACAGCACAGGGGGATAAGAAAAGAAGATGAAGGAAAGGTTGCTCGATTTTGCTACAATTTGGCGTTGTTTATTGCGCAGCGAGCAAACCAATTAGCTGCCTCTTTGTTTAACACGGGCAAATAGAAAAGGACAGCAACAGTTTTACCATCAACCTACCTTATGAAACACGCCCAATTAGGAAAAATGACATTTGGCAAAGCGCCATCTGTTATAAGAATAATGAAATAGTGGTGGGATTTTGAAATTTGAATTTTTTTCTAGGAACGTGCGTGAGCCCCACTTTTCTGCATGTATTTTAGGTCATCTAAGTACCACTTTCCCGCACTAATATACTATTTCCATTAGAGATTTTCACCTTTACTTTCTTGAAAAAAGGAGGGCGGAACAACTGAAATAGGTACTCTCTTTTCACTCCTCAAAATCGGTTTATCTCTATAACCTGAGTTGTATGTAAGTGCCATATTCTCGGTAGTTCATAAAGGGCTTTTTAGAGGAAAAGCTTGGCTTTGTCACACACAAAGCCAAGCTTATCCACTGAGCCAGGCCTTATGAACTACGGAGAATATGACCCTAAATACTTAAAGAAAAATACAAATTGTACTTCAAGTTCTCATGAGTAGGTACTTGAAGTACAGTGAATACACGGTACCTACTTGGTACTTGAAATATTTTTAACAATGTACTTTGTACAAGGACTTGAAGTACCTACATCAGAAGTATTCCAAGTACCTACTATAAAAGTAGTTCAAGTGTCCTTGAAGCTCGACAGTACTTTATGTTTTTAAATATTCACCAAATTATTAATTAACCTCATAATAAGTTTACCTATCAATAATTTAGTGAGTATTGAAAGTAGTATTTTTATGTCTTACTTTATGTACTTTGATTGTACAGGGTGCTGCAATTTGGAGTGTTTTAACAGGAAAAACACACTTCCAGACCAGGGCCGGTATTCTGGTTCTCAAAAACGCTCACCGCTTTCTAGTCGCTCGGCACTTTAAATGCAAATTTACATTGAAAGTGCCGAGCGATTGAAAAGCGGTGAGCGTTTTCGAGAACGAGAATACCGGCCCAGATAGACGAAAATTGACTTAGATGTCATGGGATTGATTTTCGAGAAACGTCGAATGTCAAAAACCGCATCGCGATATCTTCAATGGTACCATTAATACAGGGCGATTTTCGATTTTCCCCTATTATGAAAAATGGCTATAAGTTTTTCATTTGTCAATTTTTTTTATTTCTGTAAAAATATTATGGAGACACTTTTTTGAGCACAATCCAGTGGCAGACTTTGTTTTTTTCTATATTGTTCCGATTTCGAAATATCGACCAAACTCCGATATTTTCAAATGAAACACCCTATATATTAATAGCTCATTGGATAGCTCTGTTTTTACTGATTTCAATGATATAAACTTTGATAGATATATCTCTAACAGTTCTCGAGAAAAAAAAAATTATATGTTTCAGTCATAAGAAACAATGTGTTAGAAAGAGACCTTCCTCTTTTTCCTTACACATATAAAATCCTTTTCTAACACATTGGTCCTTACGACAAAAACAGATATAATTTTTTTTATCGAAAACTGTTAGAGATAAACCTATCGAACTTTATATCATTGAAATCAGCAAAAACAGAGCTATCCAATGAGCTATTAATATTTAGGGTGTTTCATTTGAAAATATCGGAATTTGGTCGGTATCTTGAAATTGGAATGATATAGAAAAAAACTGAGTCCGCCACTGGATTGTGCTCAAATAAGTGTCTCCATAATGTTTTCACAGAAATAAAAAAAATTGATAAATAAAAAACTTATAGCCATTTTTCATAATAGGGAAAAATCGAAAATCACCCTGTATCAATGGTATCATTGAAGATATCGTGATACGGTTTTTGACAATTGACGTTTCACAAAAATTGATCCCATGACGTTTAAGTCAATTTACCTCTATCTGGTCTGGAAGTGTGTTTTTCCTATTGAAACACTCCAAATGGCAGCACCCTGTACAGGGTGAGTCATTTTGGGTGGGAATGCAGGGTACAGCCTAGATACAAAAAATCTAATATACGTGCCGCGAATTATTTTTTTGAGTATAATATGTAATTTACTAGACCACTCACAATTTTTCGGAATTCATTTGTTTCGGATATACAGGGGTTTTTTGGAAAATAGCTGATTTGTTTTCCTCTGTATCTCAGTTGTTATCAAAAATTTTAGCGAATGTTAAATTACGTTATTGTGTGATTTTTTACGCAGAATCTAGTGGCGTACTTAGATTTTGTTTTGGGGTATTATTTTTTGAAATATAGTCCAAATTTTAACTTTTTTAAATGGGACACCCTATATATTTTTACACCGTTAAATTAGATATTTTCTTTTGTGATTATAACGATATGTAACACTTTGTCACTTTATAGTTTTAGTAATTTTAACTGTCAAAAACGCGAAAAAACTATTTTTTTTTGTGGGTATTTTAGCCGAGCAACGACCCCTATACTTAGTTACCGCGGAAGGTTTCAGATTGTAGCACTAACACGTTAAAAGTTGACGAAACACTTGACCTATTGAGTAAAAATGAACCGACGGCATCGGTATCTCAGTTGGTATAAGACTGGTAATTTAGAGGTCCTAGGTTCAAATCCTAGTTTCGTCCAAATTTTTCTTTAACCAAGCTAATGGAAAAATTAGCTCACGCTCACACTATTATCTGCATTACTAGATATTTTTGATGAGGTACCTATTTGTTAGATTTTTGTTTATTTATGTAACTGGTTCACGAGTAATTTGATCTACCTAAAGTCTGTTTTTTTTAAAGATAATTCCCCAAGTCAAAAATTTAGTAACTATGTTGGCAACATAAACCTTTTCTACATAAAAAATTTGAAAGCAATGACAATTCTACATTGTATTGCCAACATAATGTCATTTTGACTTTTATCTTTAAAAAAAAAAATAGATTTTACCAAAGAATTTTACTATCCATGATTAAAAATTCTAGTTGAATTTAATCTCCGGTTAAATTCAAACTTGGTGTCAACTGATAGTTTATGAAAATCTAAGATAGGAATGTAAAACCGGTTTTCCTTTAAAATTAACCATTTAGGTTTTACAGCCTATCAAAGTTTCAAAAAGTCAATTTTCAGCTGTCAATATTTCCAAAACAGTTGAACTTAGGTATAGGGTATATTACATGAAATCTACTCAGAATTTTACGTAGAATCCAAATATGCAATCACATGCAGGGTGTTCCATTTACAATAAAGTTCTGTCGCATACCCCATAAACGGAGCACCCTGTATATTCAAAAATATTTTTAACTAATACATATTAGAATATCAAAAAACTTTGTAATTTAATTTTTTTTTCTTGTATCACCTTACATTTTCGGAAAGAATAGGGACAATTTTTTTTTATACGTTGTCATTGTATTTTATACACAGATTATTTTCATTCATATAACAAAATAAATATCTAATTCAACAATATTATTGGTCCAAAAATTTTTAACTTTTATCATCTTTGATCGTCCTCACTTCTCGAACAATCTCATCCAATTTGTTCAAGTCTTTCAGAGACACTTCTCCTGAACCCCTCTGAAGGGGTTTGGGTTGTTTGGGATGAGGCTTCCAGCCCAACATGTTGATGACCTACAATAATCAATTCACAGTTTTTTCTTATCTCAAGAGGGTAGATATGATATGTTTACCTGAAATGTTGCAGGAATTGATGTTTTTCCAGTTTCAGGGTCGGTTTTACCATAAAGTTGCTGATAAATGGCACCCGCAGAAAACTGTATATCTCTGGGTAGATGTATTGATCTATTTAAGGCTGCATTACTTTCGGCCATACCTAAAACATTAACAATATCTCAGAAGTAGAGTTGCGAAGGTAAAATTACCGACGGTACAATTACCGGTAATTTACGTAAAATTCCGTAATATTACCCATATCTCCGTAAAATTGGTAAAATCGTTAAAATTGGACGTAAAGTTGACAAAAATACGTCATTAGTCCTATAGTCTATTTCATTGAAGTTGATAGCACAAATCGAGGTTTAGTTAAATTTGTCTCTCTTTATTTTGAAAAATAGAAAGAGAAACCAAAACAATGACCATGTTGATTCCCGCGTATGTCTCTCTATTTCTGTATCAGAAAATAGACAATAATATTGATATGATATCGATATTAATTATCAAAGAATATTAGAATATAAGAACATACATAATATATTTTCAATTTTGATTTTACACAAGCACAAGAATGTTCAATTTATTTCTCAAAAAAGTTCATCTTACCACCATCAGTAAGTATTCTACAATTAAAATCAACGTTGCATCTTTCATAATTCTAGAATCACCAATATGTTATTTTTCAATTTTACCAATTTTACTGGTAATTTTACAAAAATTTATTTTACCGGTAATTTTGCAACTCTACTCAGAAGTGTAAAGTCTATCCAAATCTTCACACTTGGCCGTTTTTGAAACAGACTTTGGGTTTTTTTTCTGGTTGTTGGTTTTCACCATTCTGAAGCTGTTGCAAACTCTTAGTAGGATGGAAGAATTTTCCATATTTCCTTAACTCACCTTTTAGATCCCACATCAATTCAAAAACACTAGGATAATTGACAACAATTTCATCAGTATCAATAGTCAACATTGTAAATCCAGCATTTGTCAATAAACTCCCTATATCTCTGACTTCAGTAAAAGGAGATATGCGCGGTGACAATCCACCTTTTCTTTCTAGCTCAGCTAACTGCAAAGAAGATCTCAGTTCGTATAAAGTATCTCCTCCGAATAAGGAAGCCAAAAATACTCCATCCTCTTTAAGACTATCTAGAATTTTATGGAAAGCGTTGGGCAAATCGTTGACCCAATGTAAGCTTAGGCAAGAGATTACCAAATCCAAAGAATTTGATTTGAACTGAAACAAATAATGAATGTTATTGTTTTTTGATAGTTGGAATACATAAAAGCGCTGAACAAACATCTTATCTTATTTTTTTTTTAAACCTCTATAATTGTTTGTTGGAACTGAGGTTGGAACTGAAAATTGGGTATCGGGTTGGGTATAATCGAGAGTGTACCACCTGGCCAGAAAATATACAGTGATTTCCTAGATTCGGAAATAATAGGGTATTTCTTGTATTTTCGGAAAAATACTTTGCATTTCTACATATTACCAGTATTACCTTTAGTACCATAGAGTATTACCAGTACTTCCAAGTATTACCTAAAGTATTACCTAGTATTACGTACTTCTGATCAGTATTTTCTAGTATTACCAGATCGTTCCAAATAATCATTGGTGTGATCAGCTTGATAATTATTAACAACCATTTTGCCAAAACTGCAAAAAAGATTTCTAAAACACATTCTGGCTACCATGTCATCAAATTAAAAACAGTTTGGTTATGTACCTATAGTTGATTCTTTCCTATTTTTGTTGTTGTATCCACCAGTCAATGCCAACCTCCAACCATGTCTTTGAAAAATGGTTGTTGAGTGGTCAGCTGACTGTATGAGAAAGATCTAATTGGTGTTGATTGTATGTGATGGTTTTGCAAACCAAAGCATAATAGAACTACATATTCCATGATCTCGTTCATGATTATTTATATATTGATGAACAATTCCAATGGTTGAGTAAAAACGAGTAATGCAACTTGAAATCCTGTTACCTAATCATTTATTCAGAGCTTATATTTTTTTCCTAGGTATCTCAGGAATTGGTCAATGGAATAAGAATTGCTCTTAAACTTCCTAGATATCATCATGCAGAATAGCTATTTATGTGTTGAGTGCAACATGTCGAGTGCCTGAAAGACATCGTTTCATAATGTATATGTTACAGGAAATATCCGATTTCAGGTCATTCTAGGATGTACTAAAAGCTCCTAGCGTTGTTATGAACTTCGCATATTTCCTAGGACGTACTAGTTTTGCCTGATAGTTTTCAGGACAAACTAGAAAGGCCTGATTAGTGTTAGGAAAAATTCAAATCAAATTGTCTTATTGAAAGAATTTGCATCTAGAAGTTTCGATGGTCAGTAATTTTATGGTTGATTGTTGTACTAGCTTCATAATCGTGTCGCCATACCTCGAATTATTTCAAACCTTAGATTTTCCAAACTAAACATATGGGTGCAGGAACGTTTAAAAGGTCTGTTCTCACAGAAATCACAAACCAGCCAGAGTGTTTTTGATTGCTCTAAATCGCCAACAACCAGTTTTCTAATTCTTTTCAATCATTGAAATTCGCTCTGACTGGGTTGTGACTTCTGTGAGAACAGACCTAAAGTAATAACTGGGGTGATACCAAATTGGGTTTTCTTCCAACCCCATTCTTGGAACTTTTTGTTAATAACTCCCTAAAACACTGGTATCGATATTGATCAAATTCTATTTGTCTTTGGATATAGAGTGCAAGAAGTGCACCAACAACTTCTGGTAATGGACAATCTCACATCAGTAAGAGTGAAACAGTATCTAGTTGTTCAAAACCAGAAGCCTCGGCTCCAGATAGAGGAAGGGAAAGTTTAGACAACTTAAACTTGAAAGAAAATTATGAAAAAGCATCTAAAATCGAGAGAAATATAGGAAGAGTTAGAGCTCTAGCTTCATTAGAAAAACAGGCGGAAATACATCCACCTGCTAAACTTGGGGACAGTTTACGGTCGTCATACCAGAAGCCCGATTCTCGGGCCAGGGAGAAGAGCTCCCCGATAGAATGAATGTTTTGTTTTTGTCAACGTAATCGAAAAGTAAATGAGAATGATAAAGACGAAAAATTTGTTCTCTCGAGGAGCTCTACTCCCTGGCTTGAGGATGGGCCCCCAGGGTCCTTATTCTTGAAACAGGGGAGCAGCGTTCCCAGGAGAACGAGTATTCCGTCTTTCTCCATGATATGCAACTGGTAATATAAGTAACAAAGACAGAACACTAGTTCTCCTGGGAACGCTGCTTCCCTGTTTCAAGAATAAGGACCCTGATGTAGACAAGGCCAGAGAAGGTTTACGAAATGTTATGGCTATAGTCACAAATGTTACGCATGATAATTTATACAAACTAGGTACTAAGGATGTTTAATACAACTTTATGACCGATCTAAATTTCATCTATGTAAACAAAGTGACCTGAAGTTTCTGGTCTTCTAGATGCAAACTTTCCCAATGAAACAATTAAAATCGGATATTTCCTAACACGAATCCAGTTCATTCTAATTTGTCCTGAAAACTATCAGGCAATACTAGTATGTCCTAGGAAATATGCAAAGTTCCTAACAACGATAGGAACATATACAAGATATTCACTACTGACGTTCTATAATGAAAAAACTGGAATAAGAACCTAAAAAGTTTGTCACCTGCTTTTGCTTGACACCTTCCATGCGATATTTTTTCGAGATTTGACATTATATGGAATCTTTATTTCTGAACAATGACTGACACATTTCAAAATTAAAGTGAGAATAATCGGAGAGTCGCTATTATGAAACATCAGTAAAAAAATAGTAGGTTTAGCATATAATAAGTGTGGTAATTAGGTTATTACCGCACACAAGAGAAATTTGCAAAACGAGCCAGTAAGGTGAGGTTTGCAATCTCTAAGGGCAGTGATATTGGTAATAACACCATTACCATACGTATTATATACAGGAATTTATCTACCACAGTAGCAAAATATCTGAAAGAAGTTCAAGAAATTTTAGAAAATAAAATTGCATCTCTGTCTGTCACCTTTGACAGTGGACAAGTAGAAAGTAGAATTTATGCGATAGGTAGGTTATTATTTATCTACAACTGTGCAGTAACTAGGGTATACCACAAAATTTTGAGTGGCTGCAAGTACCATATTACCGCTGTAGGTACCATCGTCACCAAAAGTAACTGGGACACAAATAATGCATAATAATCTCCTGGACTAATTCTACTGTCATTCATCTCAATGCATTTAATGCATAGTTTGACAAATATTTGACAATAAAATTCATATAATAGGACAAGAGCTAATGTGATGCTGTCCCAGTTACTTTTGGTGACGATGGTACATATAGTATATTGCACAGATTGTATATTGATTGAGCTATCAATTAACTCCCTTCAATTTTATGATAACAAAATGTCACGTTTGACTGGAGGTGAGTTTGGAGATGAATGAAATCCTGGTGGCGCCAATTTCACTGTTTGACCATGGCCGCATTGATTCAATCATAGGATTATCTTCAAAACACTTATACAATATCACACAAGTCTTCTTGCCACATTAAAAATAAACGATCGGACAATAAACGACGCCAAGTGTAACTCTTTCACAGTATTACCGAATATTTCCAAATTATTACTTAGGTATTTCTGAGATATTATCAGTACTTCCGATGAATTACCAGATATTTCCTGAGATATTAACACATTATTCAATTATTACTAGTATTACTAGGTATATTGGGCACCTATATATTCTGTGGTATTACCCACATATTTCTTGTATTACTAAGTATTTCTTAGGCAAAGTGTACAGTGATTTCCTAGGTGGTGGTGGTATGCCCCTCGGGTATAATTGTGACTTAGAACTGACAATTAGGTAAAATTCTCACTTGTCACAACTATACCTAATTGTCAGTTCTAAGTGACAAATATACATAGTTCCTCACCTAGTTGTCAGTTCCAAGTGACAATAGAAAATTTTGAGTGGTTGACTAATGACCTGTTGATTAGACTTGACAGATAAACAATGAAGTAAAAGTCATTTCTCAACAAAATGTGTCTTGAATGACGTTAAATGCATTGCTCATCTGCCAAAGTTACAGACTGGTCAATCGCTTGAAAATCCCCACTTATACCTAATTGTCAGTTCTAACTCCAAGTGAAATTATGGCTAATTGTCAATTCTAAATAACAATAATTATACCTAATTGTCAGTTTTAAGTAATAACTATACCCAATTGTCAGTTCTAAATTAACAATTATACCCAAGTGTCAGTTCCAACTTCCAACCGAGGTTCCAACAGACAATAGACGATTGAAAAAAGAAAATGAGATGTTGTCTCAGTGCTTTTGTACAGCTTACTTCAATATATTCCTCATCCAAAATTTGCTTTCTAACTTTAATTCCTTCCATGACAGGAACCATATCCAGGTTCTTCTGGCTGACATCGCAAATAATCAATTCCTCAACCGACTCGGGGGATATGTGCTTAGAAACATAGCCTCGATTACAACCGATATCTGCGGCCAATTTGAACTTTCGTTTTATATCGAAAACACGGTCGGCGAGCCGGAAACCGATTTCGTCTTTTAAGTAATCGTATAAATTAACATCGTCGGCAATAGCTGCCCTTTGTCTTTGCAACGTTTTTGTGTTTCTATCGAATATGTTAACGGAAACACTTTCGTTTCGCAGTCTGGACTTTGGAGGACTTACCGAGATACACCTCAATGTTTGAATGTAGATCGAACCTGGACAACGTAAAATTGATTTGAGTGGAAACATAATTTTGTTGGTTCGATGTTAAATCATAACGAACTTAACAATTATTTAATATAATTTTAATTTAAATCATAACAAACTCAAAGGCACTGAGCTGAAGCTGAAACAATAAACAAAAGGGTTAGGGTAGGTCATGTGTCAAGAGTCTAGAGGACGGGTTATCGATATATACTTATATATCGATACGCCATTGCATCGATGATGGCGCATATCGATCTTACATCATCTCTGTTTGAGGGCCAGTTTTTCAATAGCGAATCACCTCCGGGTTGGTTTTAACTCCAGGGTAAACGTGTCCCAGTTGCAATGTTTACCCTGATATTATGCTTAACCCAGGGGGTGACTTGGTACTGACTGAGAAACCGGCCCTACAATAGCTTTTAAAGAATATCGTATCGATACCTATAAATATCGATAAATCCATCTCTACATGGTGTCAGAATTTTGGTTATTTGTTGTTATTTTTGACTTTGAGCCAAATTTCAATTTGTGCACCTTCATCATGCTGTAATTTCCTTCTAAAAAACCTTTCCAAGTTTTACAACAATGCCAAAGCCAACAAATAAAAAGTAATGGATCTCTCGAATTTCCTTGTACCAAACATTCCGCCAACCATCTACTACATTCCAAACTTTATAACGGCCGAAGAAGAAGGTCTCATCCTAAAAAACGTTTACTCGGTCCCGAAACCTAAATGGACGTGTCTCTCCAACCGCAGACTGCAAGACTACGGCGGCGTCCCCCACGAAAAAGGCATGATCCCCGAAAAAATTCCCTTGTGGCTGCAACAGTATGTAGACAAAATTTCTAGTCTTAATATTTTTGAAGACAAAAAACCCAATCATGTACTTGTAAATGAATATTTACCCGGCCAAGGGATTATGCCCCACTCAGATGGACCACTGTTTTATCCAACTGTAACGACCATAAGCTGTGGATCCCATGCTGTACTTGAATTTAGTGAAAATACTGAAAAACGGGATAAAATTTGTGATTTATTGTTAGAACAACGTAGCTTAATTATTGTTAAGGATGACATGTATAAAACATATTTACATTCCATTAGTGAAGTTGCTTTAGATGATGTATCCGGCTGTGCTAATCTAGATAATTGTATGACGAGTTATTCGTTGAATGAGAAATTGAAGAGAGGTACTAGAGTCTCTTTAACTATTCGCAATGTACCAAAGGTATTGAAAATAAAACTATTTTAGTGCAGTTTAGGATCTGTAACAAATTATTGTTTTTATATTGTGTAATAGCCCTCACAGGGACAATGATAATATGAGCTGTTTTCTTAATTCTTACATTATTAACTTTTTTGAAATTGGTTTGAATGGTGTTCAAAACAGGTTTGGAATAGTCAATGCTGTTTCTATTGACTGTTGGAAACCTGTTTTGAACCAGTTTCCAGTTTCAAAAAAGTGAACGCAAGAAAACAGCTATGATGTTCATGTATTCTTGTTGACATAGATTTAGAGTTACTATAGGTATAAGTAAAATGAGGGTATAAATAGAGTGCCTTTTCAAGACCTTGACAATACTTCCAATTACAATTACAGACAATACTGACTACTGACTAATCAAGATAAAATAACTTTCCTTAATCAAAGAAAAAGTTGAAGACAAGTTGACCAGAGAATAGTATGACATATGACTGACATAGTTTACATACTGACATGAACATAGTCACATGTCTTATCATTTTGACAAGATGAGTTAACTCGAAGATATCCTGCACATATTTTTGTATGATGCAATTCAAGTAGATGAATCGAGTAGTGATGGTGAAATATCTTAAAGCTACTGCACTTCCAAAGAACAAGAAGGTAGTGCGAGACTCTCCCCAGAGGCAATACTCACTAAACCACAACATCTGTGATTTAATCTTGATGTAATGAAACCATTCTCGAATGAGCAATTCAACCACTTAGCCTGCAGAGTGGTTGAATCAAGTATTAATTTAGTGTACCATCTTATACAGACAGGACCAGGCTACTAGACACATAGGCTTTAATAGGACCAGTTTACTGATACTCATACTACCCATGTCACTGTATGTTATTAAAATTCGTGCAGTTCGCCTCGATTCGGGGGTACAAGCTAATTCCTCTTATTACTCCCTATGTGTCCGTGCTGTATGCTGTCATTGCAGATGCACCGAGTCTCACTTATACTTTTGCCTTCACGTATAAGCTGTGCTCTGTTGAAGGAATGCTGCTTCTGTATCTTGGAGCTTGAAGTTCTCTAAAGATGTGCCTTATCTGAAATTGAAAGAAAAATTAAGGTTTTAACCGTCTCAAATTAAATCTCCTGCGTTTCTAGCAATGGATTCTACACGACCTCAATCATCAGCAAAATACGAGCTGTTATGATTGATTGAACCAAGCCGCTGATATGCTTTAGAAAAAAATATTTGCTTGAGCGACATGATCTTTGATCGTCTTCTTAATATCTTCGGCGGTGTTCCTGTTGGTATCTGTTGACAAGAAACCGGCTCAGGGTATTCTAAACCACCCCTGTTGCTTGCAGGGTATCATTGCACTCATCACTGCCCATCCTTACATTGGTAGCCTGTGAGAGTGTGAAGGAACGAGGCCTATTAGGTTAATTGTGCACTTTACAGACTTCTTTGAGCCCAAATGCTTGGAATCTGTAGTGTTCTTGAGGCTGTGCGGATCTGATTTTCCTTTCGATTCTGACATCATCAAGCCCCAAGAATCTCTCGATTCTCCAAAATCTTCTCGTTATCGGTCTTGATGAGATGAGCTCATCAGCTCATTTTTTCTTTTATTAGTGACGAATGATTAAATTATATGAGGAACCTGAACCCATCGAAGGTCAATGTCAACGACGGTTCATCGGTAATTGTTATAATCAAGCAATCACGCACCGGGGTCGCGGGATTAATATAAAATAATGGTTTTTGGAAGATGAGAAGGTAGTCTACAGACCTAGAAAGTCTACAGACCCAGAATCAACCATAATAGTCAGGCGGAGCTCAGTAATTCGTAATAAGTGCTAGTTTTTGTATGACATTAGTGTCTCTATGTATTTTACGCTTTCCAGTTTTCATGTAGTATCTGCAATGGACATGTCGGTTTACCGCGTATTCTCTTCCTAAAGCTGATGGAACGTATCCATCAGGAACTTGATCGAAATCCTGTAATCTTTTGTGTTGTTAGGAATGATCTCAAGAGAAAGAAAATGTTGAAAATCCGCTGTTCCCCCGCCTTTATCATGAAAAGTATGATTCCTGCAGCGGAAGAAGGCTTAGGTAGATTTATGAAAATACTGGAAGACCGAAAACATGCTGGTGGAATAGAAGACAAGACATCGGAGATCTTATAATCGATAAAAAAGAAAAGTATTCCAAATTTCTAAGATAAGAGACAGGGACGGAGCCATGGGGGAGGCTGGGGGGGGGGGGGGTGGCGGACAACAGAATGACGAAATCCCAATGGTCGCAGAGAATTTCTTGCGTTGCACTTTGCACTGCACTAACGCCACTAGCCTGTGGCAGTGGCACGTGACACTTGTGGCAGTAGTAGCATTAGCACCATTAGCGCTATATAGTATCCCTGCGTTTTTATTCTCATCAAATTTCACCGATGGATCCACCATTCTATGTCGGTCATTGTCATTTTCCATTCACTAAACAAAGATAGCTAACTCATCGGTGAATTCACCGATGAGAATAAAAACGCACATATTATTAGGTAATCCAAACTTCTTATATTATGTTGCCTTCTGCGTTCTGCGCATTCTTCGCTCGCTATTCAGATTTCAGCATAACTCTGAATCCTGGTGCTCTTGAGTTAAAGAAATAGTTTTTAAAAAGTTTCACTTCTTAACACGTGTACGATGCTACACATGATTTTTCTGAAGTGAAACTTCTTACGCGGAGGTCTGATTTGGACGAGAATGGAATAACACGTTTTGGCAAATTTCGGCACACGAGAGACGAGAGAGAAGAAAGATATAACGTAGAGAGGCGGAGAAAGACAGCGAATGATAATGACAGCCGACGAACGATTGACACAAACCAAGTGAGAGAGCGTGACTCACGGCGAGTTTTTGTGAATCCAAGTAAGAATAGGTAATGCGCGTATTACTTCGCAGCGTGACGTGACGCAGTTTTGGTCCTGCGAAACGCAGTGTATTTGACGCAGTGCCAGTTTTTCTCGTAGAGTCACAGTGCGTGTTCTGAATGTTTCGAAAATTAATTGAGGCCGTGCGGATTCGACAAGTTTTGCGAACAAAACTAAAAACTGAAAAGCAGCAGTTGCCATTTTATCTGCACTATGGGTCTGCCTGCAAAGTGAAAACTGTCATTGTATTTGCGCGGTTACTCTTGTCAAGCGCCGATACCCTTGTGACGTCAATACAGATGCGCGTTTATCTTTTGTGTAGCCTTTTTATACTCCGACTCATTCGCTACATGTGATTTTTTTAATGTTTTAATAAAGTTGGGAAAATTAGGAATGTCACCCCCCCCAAACCAGAGGCCTTCGCTACGTCCCTGATAAGAGAAACTTCAAAGAAGCACAAGATAAAAACAGAAAACTGTTACTAAAAAGAAAAACGAGACTTAAGAAAAAACCGAGAAAGAACCTGCACTCAAATCAACAAAATACACAGTATATTCACGACGGAGGCATTAAGATCTGCATCAAATAAACTTCGACAGGGTACCTACCAAATGAAATCCTAACTATCCAAATCACAACCCAATACATCATAAAGAAGATAAAAGCCCTTAAGGCTGCCAGATATCTAGATCTGGGACGGAATATCTCCATTAGTTCTTAAAAAGTGCAAAATAATGACTATGTCACCACCGACTGCAGCAAAAAAGTCTCCCCAAAGCTTGGAAATTTTCATCAGTCACCCCGATATACCAAAACGGTGATAAACTAGATAGTGGAAACTACCAGGGTCCTTATTCTTGAAATAGGAGAGCAGTGCTCCCAGGAGAACGAGTGTTCCGTCTTTTTCAATGATATGCAAATGGTAATATAAGTAACAAAGGCTGAACACTCGTACTCCTAGGAACGCTGCTCCCCCTGTTTCAAGAATAAGGGTCCAGGGTCCTTAGTCTTGAGACAGGGGAGCAGCGTTTCCAGGAGAACGAGTGTTCTGTTATTGTTACTTATATTTGTCATTTGCATATCATTGAGAAAAACAGAACACTCGTTCTTCTGGGAAGGGGAACGCTGCTCCACTGTTTCAAGAATAAGGACCCAGGGGCCGGATTCTCGTCTCAGGGAGTAAAACTCCCCAGGAGAACAAATTTTTCGTCTTTATCATTCTCGTTTGCTGTTCGGTTACGTTCACAAGAACAAAACATCTATTCTATCGGGAAGCGCTACTCCCTGAGACGAGGATCTGGCCCCAGGCCAATAACATTGCTACCCATTGTAAGCAAAATTATGAAATTCATGGTTGCAGAAAATCTAAGAGGTTTTTTTGAACAAGAACAATTGATTACAACTCAACAATATGGTTTTGTATCAAAAAGGAGTACCACAACTGGACAAAATCATTAGATCAAAAAACTCCCTTTGATGTCATATGCTTGGATTTGGCTAAAGTATTCGAACGAGTTCCAAGCCAGAAGCTTCTGCTAAAACTGGATAATTTCGGTTTGAGGGGGGATTTACTGCCCTGGGCCTATTTTACAAACAGAAAGTACAAACCCACATAACAGTAAAAGAACATTCATATTCTCAGAATATTCCCTCAAAGTGCTTTTTGGAATGTTCTTTAAGGAATGTTTAATGAATATTCTAAGATTGTTTCGATTAAAATATTCATTTTTGAACGTTCTATTTATGTACTAGGAATGTTGCTTCTATGCACCTACCTGAAAGATTGTGCTAAGAACCTACTTTGTATAACAATCTTTGAATATTGTCATACGAACATTATTATAATGTACTCTACACAGTCGGGCTGTGTTTGCCAATTTACTGTAACCTATACGTGTTTATCGATATACAGAGCAAAAATTAAAAAAGAATTTAGACTAATGTGTGTCCCTTTGTGTTTTGGAATGTTTCCTACAGTGGTATTTGACGTCAAACGCCCTTGCTGGTAAAAAATAGCCTGTGAAGAAGACCAAATATATGGTCGAAACGTCGGCATAATTTTTTGAAAAAAAGAAATTTTATTTCCTAAGTCCTGAACCCATTATCTCTACTCTATCTCAAACACTAAGGACGTTATCTATAAAAAAAAATCATAATTTAACAATTAAACAATAATGCTCTATCTAGAACCTACTAAAAATATTATAGGTATATTCTTTTCCTTTTGCTTTGTAGGACTTCCAAGAGAGGCAGCCACGCGCTATTAAAGATCTACATCTTACCTCACGTTCGAATCACCTTGGAACCTGTTTCTCTCAGTTGGCGTGCTTCGACGAGAGCATAACAAACTCGAAACCGGAGCTTTGGTTAAATACTTGTGTTTTCCAGAGAAATTTTCTAACAACTGTTTCACTGCCTTTAATATAAAAGGGCTTAACGGAGCATTATTTGGAAGCGAAAATTAACATTCCAAGTATCCTTAGAATCAACCAAGAATGTTATGTCTAGGATGCATATTGAGAATGATATATGTAGATATATTCCAAGAATATTTCAAGCATATTGGTATAATATTCTTTTGAGAACATAACTATAATGTCATAGAAACATTTCTTTGAATGTGAGAATACCTATACATATCGAGCATATTTTTAGAATCAAACAAGAATATTCTTTTCAGGATGTACTGAGAATCTCATAGGTATATTCTAGGAATATCCTAATGGATTTCTCAGGAAGTTCTTGGGTATTGCAAACAGTATTTCTACAATCTTTTCTCAGAACATTCTCAGGACATTCGCAATGGTTTTGGCGAACATTCTAGGAACATTCCTCCTAAAAAAAGAACATTCTTAATACATTCTAAGGATGCAATTTTGTTATGTGGGAAGTCAGAGTTGTCGACTCATACTCTGAACTCTATCCAGTACAAAGTGACGTACCTACCCCAAGGCTCGGTACTTGCACCAACTTACACTATAGATCTCCTCAACCTAATAATATCAACATGTGCAGCGTTTGCCGACGACATAAAAACTTATGGTTTCGCTCCAGAATGATTAAAACCAAATTCAGAAGTGATGTGAGGACCTGCAACTACCCCTTAACGTGAGAATATGTATGGTACTCCATCTTAGGAAAAATAACCCAGAAAATGAACACACCATCAATGGGTCAGTACTGGTCACTGGTCAGTGTTCAGCAACACAATGGCCTTAGAGTTCTGATAATCAAAGACTACCTGGTCAGCACATGTAACAACAATATGCAAAAAACCAAGTTATTCCTCCTATAGAAGGTCTTCTCAAACATCCCCCAAGAAACGATTACAAAACTGTACAACATAATATACTGCAGGCTAATTCTATAATATGCAGCTCAGACTTGGTACCCAGACCTCAGATACCGCAAAAGCTTTGAAGCTGTACAGAGAAAAGCAACACGATTGCAACTTGGCAGAAGAAGACCTACATATGAGGAAAGGCTAGAACAACAAAAACTGCTGAGCTTCCAAAATAGAAGAACAAGAGGAGATCCTATCTACCATACACTCCACAACAGCATTCAAACAGTTAGACACCTCTATGCCTCGAACACACACCAGACACTCCGGGGCCACAATATCAAACTTAGAAAAGAAAACTACTCCACAAAGTGTAGGCAAAACTTTCTACTAAAGTCTTTGCCTTTAGAATCAACTCCCAGCTGAAAAAGTACTTAAGTGATACTTCAGTGTCAGTATTCAATAAAAGACTTAATAGTCAGTTCCCATAGTGCTTAAACCAAAACAAATACCTACCCAAAAACTAGTTCTAAAACAATTGATACCTAACAATGCAGAAGAGGGCTTATAGGTATCACCTAAGCCCATATGGACTAGATAGAAATAGTAATAGTAATATTAAGAAAGTAGCAGAACTCTCTTCGACTAGAAAGATCACAAGATATTATATTGTCAATAACATAGAAGCATGGGACAAGTACTTCTCTAACCAAATTGTTCAGGGAAGGGAGAGCAGACCAGGAGGCGAACCCCAAACAATCGCTATCGATAAGTTCTCGACAATTTCCCCTCACTTCTCATCTCGTCCACCCATCGCTCAACGTTAGTCGCCAAAATTGCTACCACAAACGTTCGTTTGCACCGCAAAAAACTGAAAGGCGTATGTAGATTAGGTAATGGAAAACCAAAAATCCCCTCGCCTATAGGATTAATTCCACTAGAATTAATAAAAATACTAATCTCATCTTCAAATACTGTTTCAAAATTGTATCAATTGTGAAGAAGATGAAGCACTACCAGAAGAATGGAAAACATCTTACATGTCTACCATAAGAAAGGGAGTAGAGCAAACTGCGACAATTACCGTGCATTTGCAGTTCTTTGAACAATATATCTAAAATCTTAAATGATCAAATATTGATCAATATCATTCTCAATTTCCTAGATAATTGATAAGAAAAGAGCAACAGCTAGGAATCAAGAACTTATTCACCTACCTACTGTATGTCGACCTTAAAACAATAAATATTAATTCTGCCCTAATAAAATCAGTTCAAAATCTTTACGAGAGCAGCCCATCTGAAGTCAAAGTAGGACGCAAAGGATTTTTTATTAACAATAGGGATGCTGTGCTGTACGCTCTTTAGAATTGGCACAGGACTACGAAGACTTTGGAACATATGACAAGGAAGCTAGTGGAAGAATGTAAGAAATGGAGGCTGGAAGTAAATTTTAGTAAGACAGAATATACCTTATATGTATTGGAGGAGAGACAACTAAATAGTATTTTGTGGGACGAAAAAGTATCAAAGAATAATAAACATCGAGTCAGTAAGTATAGGGTCCATTTTGTGCTTGAGAAAGTACACGCGTGACATTTGATAGCGGTCATGTTAATAAAACAGGTAGTTGTTTAGTTGGATTGTTGGATGGATGCCATTTTAGAATATGGATCGTCTTAGACGTCTTACCACCGCAGACGGGACCACAAGATCCACAAGTCACACAATACGAGATAATCGGGCTTTGTTAAAAGAAAAGTTTCCAAGACAAGTAATTTCGAGATTGGCTGATGTGAATTGACCAACACGATCCTGTGATCTAACACTGTTGGACTTCTTCTTGTCAGGATATGTGAAAGATCGTGCTTATGTCAACAACCTTCTAACGATTGACGCGTTGAAAAACAATATTCGTCAAGTTATGACCGGAATATGCCTGAAATGTGCCAAAAAGTTGCCAAATTACCTTAACAGGATTGATTCCTGCAGGAGGTCCCGTGGAGGATATTCAAATGATATCATAATTCATACATAATGGTAATAACCACAATTTATAATGCCATAAAAACTTTATCGCAATCTCAATCTTCAGTGTCTTTTTTTTAAATTAATTTTATCAAGGTGAACTTGGATAACCCTATATAATAACATTCAGTAGTGAGGTCTGGCCTGGAAAGAGAAAACAATTAAAATACTCGGAACTGCGAAAATGAATTATTGGAGACGTGCTGCATGAATCTCAAAACGCGAATAAATAATGAAGAAATGAGATAATTAGAGAAATCATGAAGGTACAACACGATTAGAAGACATAATAAGAGATAACCCACTGAGCTGGTATGGGCATGTACAAAGAATGGCAGAAGATCGATTATTCAAACAAATTTTAAGTTGAATACCACCAGATACGAAAAAAAAAAAGGAAGGGATAGATTAAGTCGGTCAAAGGGTATCGATAAAGATATTCAAGATAGAGGGCTGGAAGAAGATCGAGGAAAATGAAGACTGGGGATCGGAATAAGACGGCATATAATATATAGGAATGATATCGTCGTGTATTTCCCAATAACCTACCTTGGCAAGGTCGACTCTGGATCTTCTTCAGCCTTTCTGAATGCTGTGGCCTGTATGGTAACAGCTGCTGCACAATGAGGCTTTTCGCCCTACGCCACATCTAGATTCAGACTAGTTGTCACATCAACTTCGTTCCTGGGTACTTTCTTGACGTAGAAACATTATGCTGAGAAAGTTTAACATGATTTGAAATTCCTGGCTCATAGCAAAATGACAATTAACCATTTTCTGAGTCAAGAAGGATGACTTTCGTACTACAGTCGTGAGTGGAGTCTATAGTCTGACATGAAATTGTTTCGCAGCACTCTTATTCCAATATAAGTTTTTATGATGAAGTTTAAATCTACTTTTTCTTCCATACTCACAAACTCACTATAAGAATGAGGTATCCTTTGGGTGCTGTCCCTTAACTTCTTTTGTCATACTAGTAGATGTAATAATTCTACGCGGTCTTTCACATTGCAATAATTCTTTCCACCCTGTAGAGAGAAATAAACGGATCGCTCGAGCCAATTTTTTTCTTCTTCTTTCCGTCCAGAGTCGTCGCATACGACGTCACGGCCTCTGTAACCATGACGACTAACGGCGCGGTGAAAGCACGCCGCCTGCTTTACCAAGCAGTGGCCCGACCCTCTGCTGAAGCCCCAGCTGAAACGATTCAGTCTTTTGTAGCGAGGCTTTCACACCGCTCACACTCACATCGGTGAGGTGAGCGTGCGAGTGAATCGCCCCTCGCGGCGACGACAACGATCGAAGGGGTTGATGCGCCCCCGAAATAATGGGGCAGACCGAAAGTAGAGACGAAGGCGCCGAAGACGACCCAGAGAAATACGATTCTCGTAGGAGCTCTGATAATTTGGTAAGTGATGGTCGTTTCTTGTTTAATACAGGCTTCGGACTTCTTTTATACCTGCTTGCAATGACCCCTTTATTTTCTGCATGATGGGCTGAAGTGGGTCCCCCTATACAGGTTGAAAACCTTTATTGTTATTAAGTCTGGTTTGTGGTCTTAGCTATACCTACTCGTTTTTTGTTTTCAAAATATATAAGTACACTCTATAGAGGAATAGCTTTGATAATTTTCATTTCTCTTGATATCTTGGGCAAGTGCTTGCTTTATCCAACTGTTTCCATAAAAACACCTCCAATGACTCTCTAATTTATTGTATAGGTATTATTTTATATCTTTGTCGATGATCTCACATTTATTTTATCTTTCTCAGTTTTGTATTTAGCCGCTAGTCTTAGCATCTTAATAAAAATGTCTTCCTAATACATTTTTCCTTATTCTCTCGCATTGGTCTTCTAATATTGTCCTCATTAAAATTTTATTATTTTTTTGAAATCGCTTGGATTATTTTCGATGTTTGGCTTTGGTGCGGTAGAAACAATCGATAGCGAAGTTCGCAAACATGGCGCGAAAAGCGAAAATTTTATTTGGAAACTTGATGTTCTGTAGAATGATTATTTGCAAACGTTTTATTTGATTTTTAAAGTCTCTGCGTCGACTCTTCTTACCCCCTTTTTAATGAATACCGTGGGGTGAATAAGTAATCAGAGGGAAATTTTAAAGCCATTGAAATCCATTGAAGTATGTATATGCATTATACATTCTATTGTATGTTTCAGCAAATTTGTGTGTTCTTGCTTGGACATGAGGAGTAACGCAAAATAGTGCTAGAGTGGTTGTTATATAGATTTTCTATTCAAGTGCCACTACTGTTTAAAACTGGGTAGAAATTGAGAAAACTTCTAAAAAGTTTAATTCCACTAAGTATATTTTCATGCTTGATGGTTGAGGAGATTCCCTGAATTTTTACATTTTTTTTTTCCAAGCTTATGAGAAGTGGTCAGTAGGTATATTTTTGTTGACTGTTCTGTGTGAATTACTTTCACAAAAATAAATTTTAAGTGTCCCTTTGTTTTTATAATGTATTAGATCTTTTGTTGCTCTATCAACCGATTGTCTGTGGCCATAATTTCAAGTTCTCTTTGCTGATTTACTGTTATTGGTTAGTCTCAGTTAATACAATTTGTTGTCACATTACTATATACTTCTAGTTTTGGATGATCCTGATGAATTAATGTTTCCTTATGAGATTTCCTATATTTTATACATCTTTCGTTGCTCTATCAACCGATTTTCTGTTGCCATAATTTCATGTTCTATGTGCTGATGAGCTGTTGTTGGTTGGTCTTAGTTAATATAATTTGTTGTCACATTATTAAATACTTCTAGTCTTGGATGAACCTATGATGAACTAATGTTTCCTTATGAGATTTCCTATATTTCATACCGATCAGTCGGTCGGTTGGACTAAACAAAAGTGAATTTATCATATATTTTAATCGCATCAGATATGTCATTTTTATATCAAAAATTACCGCCTTTAAAGGGAATAGACATGAGAAAAACCTGAAAAAAGAACACATGATGGCTCAGAATCTGGCGAAATAGGATAAAATTGACCATGTTTCCTTATGAGATTTCCTATATATATTTCATACAGATATATTTAGTATTTTAAAGCATATATTCAAATCTCTGCAAGATCGCTATTTGAGATTTCCACTTCAGAAACACGCAACTTTGCCAATTTCATATGACGACTGACGAAAGATTGAAAAAATCGTTACAACAATAACAAACTGATCTGATACGTAACAACGTTAACCGCTTTCAGTCTGAATTTGTACCAGCTGTTTTCATGCTGGCGGGCGGATAATTAATACATATTCTAGCCGCGACGATAAAATTTGTACTTTCTCTGTACGCCGGTGCTCTACCTAAACGTGTAGTGCGTATTTGTCCCCACCATGGAAACCTTAATAGAACATCAAAGTAAATATTTGGCCCGACCGTAAATATCCCACAAAGTCAAACTCCGTTTATGTCCCAACACATTTGTTACCAAAGTAAACCTCCGTATATGCATAGTGCACAAACCATGAAAATTACTATAGTGAAGAAACCACCCTGTAGCTACGAGTCTTAAAAAAAAACTTCCATCATACCCCAATAAACTGATAAAGTTGAACGAGAGTCGCTTGAAACGATTAATCTGACCTCCGGGCCAATTATTGCGTTGTTTATTGAGCGTATGGAACGGCACATAACAGACCATGTTAATTTTCACTCTGATGGATTTTAATTGTCTCAATTATTGTCGAGGAATTTTCTATGCTATTTCGGAGAAAGTAGACAATAAAGCCTGGAATGTCTCATAATGGTTGGATGTATTATTGTATTGACTAAATTGTATTATTGTCAGTAGGTATAGTCAAAATAAATATAAAATATACATGGAAACATGAAAAATAATTGCGAAAACGTGTGGACAAACAGTCCAGTTGGACAGGCAAGTCACAATTCATCCGCGTAAAACTCACTCAGATCGTAGTAGGCCTTATTAATCAGTGAAGTCTTTGTTAAAGATCATTTGAACACTTTTATAGGCGATGTCTCCCGAAGATGGACAGGCAAGTGATTAATAATATTTCTGCTTTTAAAGATCAAAGTTGACGAGTAGGAATTGGCAAGGACAAGTTAAATGGTGAAAGTCTCACGTTCTCTAGCACAAAAAAAGAGGTCAGAGTTAAAATTCTCACTGAAAAGAAATAGGGCCTTCATAAGTCTCTCATCCCGATGCCTGTGATAAAACGTACAGTGTTTTTCTGCAAGACCAAAATAGCATATTGGTATACTGAAGCCCCAGAATGGAATTCCATATCAAAGGAGCAATTCAAATAAGGCAAAGTCCGCTCCATTTCAGGTCCCAACTCGCCTCTCATAGCTCTCACAGCAAAACAGCCCGATGAAAGTCTTCTGCTCAACGTCAACGAAGATCCCCATCTACCCAAACGCCCAGAAAGTTAACTATCGAACCCCAACAAGGGAATTGCCCAATACCAGGACATCCACGTTGCACCTGAAACCAAGCACAATGGTCTTGGCAACATTGAAAACAAGTCTGTTAACGTCACACCATCGGTTTATCAACAGGCAAGTCATGGGAAATGGCACGCCCCAAGACATCAACACTTAAAGACCATGCACTGATAAAAAGGATATCTTAATTGAAAGTAAACAGAAATCCAAACAAGGTTGCCATGTCCTTGTATATGTCCAAAGCAATATTGTCTTGAACAGAGTCAGCGATAATCTTGTCATTTCATTAAACATATTTAAGAGAATGCTCTTAATCTAAAACTATCGAATTTGACGAATGATTTCTTTACTTCAAGGATTCTTCTTTGATTCAAAATCAGGTATGAGCTTGAATCAAAAATCAATATTCTTGACTTAAGGAATGTAGATATTTTCGGTGGAAGCCTTTTTTTTGCTCAAAATAATGGATTCCTTGGTTTAAGAACCTGTTAATTTGGAGCAAGTACCTTTATCCAAAGGGATAGGTTATAACTGATTTGTAGGACAACTTTTACATAACAGGGAAGTTTTCTTTGGAATAAAAAACAATATTGTCTGAAAAAAACAAAATATATTTAATGATATAACTATATTTAAACAAAACATAGAACAGAAAATGGTATAAAAATACCTACATACTTATGTGACTATATACTATATGTATAATTAACAGAAAAGAAACTTGATTTTTCAGAATAATTCATGGGTTAATTCACCCATGCATAAAAAAATAACTTAAACCTTACCTGTCTACTAAGGAAGGGCCAAATTATAATATGAACCAACTGGTGAAGGTCCTGGTTGTTATGTTACCAAGCAGGTAAATTCTATATCTAGAGAATATAATTCACCTGCTTGGTAACAAGCAGGACCTTTACCAGTTAGCCCATAATTTGGCTCCAAATAAAACAGGTTAAAGATAATATTATATCATTATCCCATACCATAACCGAGGGCTGAATAACGGATTTCCAGTTTTCCGACTTTATTCGCAAACCACAACCCAGACCCGATAAGTGACAAATGAAACAGAAAACACAACACGTGGAGAAATGAAAGATGTACTAATGTAGAGGGTACCAGCGGCGTACGGTCAAAGTGTTGCGGCTAGGAGCAGCGTCGCGCGCATAATTATTGATTATCTCTCAAAATAAAGAGACAGGAATCTTTGAACGAAAGTATTTGTCTTGGTTTAAGATCACTAGTTTAATGTGTGATACATTTAAGCAAATAATCCTCTGTACAAGACGTTTGACTACCAAGAGAATATGCGTGATTGATCAAATACTTGAAATATCTAACTTCAAGACTACATTTTTTTAAAAAGAGAAAATTTCCTTCATTTAAAGATATTTGGATTCAAGATAATATATTGCTTCTCTCTAAGAGTTCATTTTTATCATTGTGCCAAACTATTGAGGTGTCGTCCACAAAAATTTGAAATTCTTCAGAGATCTCAATAGAGGCGAGGTCCAATCAAAACGAAACCTTAAGGCACTTCACAACTAATCAAAATACTTGAAGACTGTTCTCCAGAAGCTACAACCGATTGACAACGTCCAGCAAGGTAGGAGCTTAACCATCGCAGGAGCCGATCCTCTAACGGCATAACGTTCGAGCTTGGACAGCAGTATTCCATGATCCACATAATCAAAAGCCTTGGATAGATTACAAAACACCAATGCCGTCACCTGCCTCTGATACCTACATGTATTTAGAAAATTAAAAACAGCGTTATGGGTTCTGATCAAATCCCGGAAACCAAACTGTCTGAGAGAAAGGATTCCACGAGATTGGAACATTAATGGACAGGAATGTGTGAATACTGTGAATCTTCTTTTTCCTAATCCAGTGGTTTTGTTGAAAAATTGTGTGAAATGATGTGCATATTATGAGAATCAATGTCCACTAGCAAGTTATGTTAAGTAGGC